AATTGTCCCAAACTCAACGAAAGGACAAAACGCACAATCGAAACTCATTTGATCAAAACCTGAACATACAGACTCTAAAAAAAACCCAAGCACTTCCTTGTCCTATATTGACTCAGTTTTTTTTCCCAAGGGATACGAAACGTGTAGGCTTACATTAATTCAATGCTGTGACTTTGGCTGATTTTATTAGAGAAAAAAAATAGATTATTACCGTGCGAGGTGTCGCTAAAGAAGCATGCGAGATGTAACACTGCGATCCCTGATACCAAGCGGCACACTCGTTAGCTATGGGGTCGATGTGTAAGTCCAATTGCAGATCTGACGCGAACACCACAGAAGTTCACACCATTGCTGCCTGCCACAGTGGGTGTGTGGATGCGGCTTGCGTGAATGGAAGTATGGGTGAAAAATACAGGAACTCGGTATACAGTCCCAACTATATCAACAGAATCCTTTGGTAGTGGTCACGGCTAATCTCTTTGAGCTACCATTGGGTAGAGTTGTACTTTGTGTGTACAGTCATCACTTCCTCTTTCGTATCGAACGCAGGACTCTATAGGCTACACTGGGGCGGTGAACTGCCCACAATGCCCTGTGCTTCCTTTACGATCTTTTGTAATAAAAATGTAAAAGACATTAGCCGACCTGTGGCCTTTATGGTGGTGGGTACGAGGATGCAAGCTGGTACAGACTGATCAACTATGCGCTGAATCTTGTTCTGCAACGCAAAGGACTGTGGGTGTTTGTAATTGATTCATTGCAACGTCCACTTACGTCACACAGGCTTGACAGCCAATCACAGCATCAGTTATCCAGACATCGTTCCATTGTTGAATGGAGGCTCTTTAAACAAGTGCAAGTGCACAAAGCTCTGGCCGTGTTGCAAGAAGTCTAGCATGAACTGTTGCATGAAATCGACCAAAATGATCCCTGCCAGAGTTAAAAAATGTGACACAAAAAAATGCGACGCCGATGGCACATATGGAACACCACACTTTTGGTCAATTTTCGGGGACAAACAGACAGACCTAGACAGACCGACCGACCGACCGACCAACCACCAAGTGACATATAGAAGCTTCTGCCAGAGCTATGAAATAGAAGAAAAATGGTCGTGTAACATCGAATATTATTTTTCATAGACGTGCTGAAGAAGGAAGCTTTTTAAATAAACACTCAAACACCTCATCTTTGGTACATTCATTCTGTATTCTTTTTAACAAACCTGTCTAGTTTGGTTACTGCAGTACATAAAATATATTTTGGAAAATAAACATACTAGTACTATGTACAATTTGAAAATTGCATAATTTTACTTTTGCAACAAACTGTGTATAACTTTGGAGTATACTTTAATGGATTAAGTACGACTAGGAATGCAAAAAAATGTAAATAAACAAATACATTGAGTACAATGAAAATAAATACATACACTTGAGTAAAAATGAAAATACACAAAAGGGACGCGCACTTTATAATTTTGACCTTCGTTGTTACATCCTTAGAATGTTTCTGTGACTAATTTTAATATTGCGAATTCGCGCATGCGCTCAACAGGGATAAATGATGCTGTAAACATTCGACTACAATTGGTACATCCGTATTGGACTGTACACGATACAGCATACTTCCATTGTGGGCGAGGTTATGTTTATGTGCATCTTTTGTGGTTGTACACAATGTTGACATTCATGGCACACATTCCCCATGAATCAAAATTTACTGCAAACAATATAAACTATGTGCCTTGGCTGAAAAATTGGCAAGAACGCTGTTGTACAAAACGACATAAGTACATGATCAACATCTTTCAAGTAAAGTTACTGTTGAAAAAATAACACCATGCGCATGCAAACAGTACATTTCTGTGTAAATTTGAAACGGTATACATGTATTTCTATGTAAATTTCATATGATCACAAAAGAATTATCGCCGTATAGTGGCGTCATTATAAAAGCAATATATCAATACAAAACAAACAGTCAAAACAATGATTGCCTCTGTTACTATTAAGAATATTGACAAACATTTTGTAAATTTCGTTTCTTGGTTTTTGTTCTTCATAATTTATCTTTTTATTAGCGACTATAGTACTATCCATATTATTTAAAATCATCCAAGAGTATTTCAATAAAATGTTGTTTAATACAACCAAGTACTTTCTCTTAACAATTTAACTACATCTTGGATAATTGCGAAAATATATCAATCTGATATCAAAATACATGTAAAGGTAAAATCGGAAAAGTTTTTTTTGCACAAATTTTTCTTTTCCTATGTGTGATTTTGGCTGAAGATTGTTCATTGCAAATTTAATGACAATGATTTGCAGTGTACTGCTGGTTATGGATTTCTCATACGTAAAATATCATTTGTAGTAGAAAAATAAGCGTCAACATTTGGTACAAAAATAAAACGGTCTGTCTCTCAGTCCTCTTAAAAGTACAACAGTACCAGATGAGTATCATAACCAGGCAGTTAGTATTGCATTATTAACAAGTGGGTGTGGCTAATATTTAATGGTGGTGGGAGGGGCCTTTGATTTGGCAATGAATATGCATACAGTGGGCGTGGTTACATTACCCTGGTATCTGACTGTTCTGCATATTTGGTATAGATGGATGGAATGAGGGTGGGTGACGTTGGTGGTAAAATCGACAGAGATGCTTTTGCATTTTTGACTGGAAAGTGGGTGTGGCTATTATTGAATGGTGGTGATAGGGGCCTGTGATTTATTGGACAGTGACTATGCTTGAGTGGGCGTGGTCATTTGCCACCAAAGATGTACCATGTCTAAAGACGACAGCAACTGTACAAGGATAAAACAAATACCATGCTCTAAAGTTGAAGAAGTGACTAATTCAACTCTCTCAAACGTCTTGCAAGAGATTCTTTTCTCTCAAAGATTTGGTGTTGCTTACATTAACAGTCGGATATAACAACTATTCGCAAATACCCAAGACAGTTTGCCCATTCCTATTGGTTGAGAGCCCATCACATGACTGGGTTTCAAACGGAAGATAAAGACATGGCTGGCTGGTCTTAATACACTTTTCCAGTGTCACATGAAATTTGGACTCCTATGAAATCCAGTGCCAGCACCGTTTTATTGGTGGAACGTTCACAATCCTCACGTAGGCATGTGCAATACTACCAGGGAGTCAGTATTTAGTAGTCCTAAATTCACACTACACCGGTACATCTGCGTTGTGCCCCACATCACGCAGTATGAGTGACGCCTGCATCAATCTCCATATAAGGAGTTATTTACAAGAAGGCCTTATCAATGTACAGCTCGAGAAGTGTTTTGTTGATCGAAATCGTTGAACATTTATAATTTTTGACTTGTGGACCGGAAAGTTTTGATTCCTCAAAAGGTATTAATGAATGAGATTCGGCTCGGGTAATTATCAGCATCCAGACTTCAACTGGTCTTAAACAGAGTGTTTAACACCTCCTAAGCACACATTTATTCCCTGATTTTATCCCAATCATTTTATCCCATGAGTCGTCTGGTTCTTCTCAGAAGCACACACAACTCAAAAGAGATAACATTCACATGGTGTTACCGCAAACCTTCCATGCTCACGTCCACCATGCAAACCGAATATTCCTAATTTATCCAAGCGATGGAAAAAAATAACTTTCATCTAACGAAGCACCATATAGTTTGGGACCCAATCAATAAGCCCAAATATCACCTTGTGTTGTTACTTTTGAAAATGTGCAGCACTTACAGTATCATTCTTCTATCGGACGAAAGCACCTTTTGAAAAACTACCCTATAAACTTTTATATTCATTTTACACAATGTTAAGCCAGCACACATAAAAAAAAGTTATTTTAATTGTACCACAACTTAAGTACTGCACAGTCAGCCAAGTATTTCTTTTTCAACAACCTAATGTTCTTGAGAAGAAAAACCAAAACGATAAAATTTTTGGGGGATATTGCATTTTTCTAACACATCTATGAAAATTGTTTGCAAAATATCTCGGTGAAAACAATGCAAATTAATTCCCCACTGATTTGAAGTGCTGTCTCGTATTTTGATGTTAATTTCCTCAGTTTTTAGTACTCTTTAACAAACTCGAACGCTTATATCATTTAATAATCTATGTCAAATAATCTGTGTAAAGTTATTTATAGAAAAAAGAAAGACATATACATGCAACTTAATTGAAGTTAATAAGTATCAACCTTCTTGATGACTTATATTTTTTTAACGTCAAATTTGGAATATTTCAGAAAATATTTCGGTCCAATGGAAAAATACCATAACCATTCTCTTAACATGAAAGTAAAATTTTAGATAAAATATACTTTTTCTGCGTAAGGCCAAAAAAAAAAAGTCTCCGGTTTCTGGTATGGAGCTTTCCCCAAAAGTGGTGCGGCGACGCGGTCTTTTTTTTTTTTTACCTGGTTTTTTTTTTTTTTTTGGCTTCAAATGTCGGCTGATGACTGCAAATGGTGCCCGACTAAACTTAGTGCAAATATATGGGAGTCCAGAGAGGCCACATAAATCTTATTCACGATCATAACCCCATCTAAAAACACGTTAAAATTGTGCAGCAGCAGAATTCCAGTCAAACCAGTGAGTTTGGCGGTTTTGAAACATCATCTTGTATTGAAAAAAATACTTTTTCATTTTGCCGACGCGCATGGCTACGGCGACGCGCGCGCATACCAGAAACCGGAGACTTTTTTTTTTTGGCCTAAGTCAGATTTTTTTTTAAGTTGGTAGAAAACACAAAAGCCCATTGCTGTTGTTTACGGTGGAAGTTTAGCAGACGGTACCCTGCTATCACTGGTAATCCAAGTACCATGCCTGCTGTAATCCTCCATGTCCTGCCAGACTCCACACATGTGTAAACTTACAACCTAAATTTCTAAAAGTGTCACATGAACATTCAACAGACGTCAAGTTGTGACAAATGTTTACCTGGTACTCCGCTGTGGCTGGTAACACTTGCTCGTTAGCTTAGCTTTTATTTTTTTAACTCTACCTGAAGTTCTCGTAGATGTCGAAGGACTGCAGGTGCATTAGGGCTGTGTCGTAGCAGTACTTGTATTGTTCCTATAAAGCAAAGGGATAAGGATGACATGTCAGACATTGTTGTAATAACACTCGTTCCAACCTCGTACCCAGGGTGTCGAGCAGTACGCGCCCACGACTACCTGCTCTCTCACCCTGGTATTGGACCATTTGCATGTGCAAGATTTTTGAACACGTATGCAAATGAGGAGTAGTCTGGTGCCTGCATGTGCATTACATTAGCGTTTGTTTTTGTATGCGGTGTCTGGGGTAAAAACTGCTTCAATTCGTCGCGCCGTGAGTTATGAAAGCACGATTTTTTGAGTTTAAAATGTTACAATCTGGCCCGCCAATATGCAGTATCACATTTCATATTAAAATGAGCAAACTGGGAATGAAAAGGAGTATTTTTGAGAAGGCTTAAACGTTATAATTACAATGATCGTGAAAACATGTAATGCACGTTGGAAAATAATAACACCAACTACACGATATAAATCCATTACTAACCAATTGCGGTATCGAATCAGGATACAGGAAGAAAGTTTCCTATCCAGGGCTTACAATTGGAAACAAGGTTGAAAATAAAGTAAGCACTGGGGACGAGGTTGCACTCATTCAGATTGGCCTTCAAGGGTCACGCCAAACCAATCAGTATTCAAGGCATATATAGGATCATTTGCATATATCCCCAAAAGCAACCTATCAAATAAACATCCAAGACCTTACTTCAATTAATGATCGAACTGGTACAAAACACACCGTGAAATTATTCCGTCTGGCTTGCTGTCATTTAGAACTAGAACGGCGAAGCCGCCATGGCTCGCTGTCCAAGGCAGGAAGGGAGGCTGAAGGTAGGATTGGGGATGGGCATGATGGAAGGGGATCAGGATTCTTGTTGATGTGCCTAGGTGTAGGGGTCAGTTTTTAAATGTCAACATAAAAAGTTAACAGATTACCTAATAAATACATGTGTATATAGGTTAGCCGTCACTGTATTATGGGGGAGTTTTCCATTGTTAGGGTAATTAGGACCCAGTTGTGGATTTTTGCAGCCCCAACAGTGTCTTCTGCTCCCCATACTTGTATTACCATGGGAAAACTCTTGTGTAGTCGCCACAAATGCAGAACAAGAATGGGTACATACATGTACATGTAGACACAGCACCATCACCACCTCCCCAAACCTTACCCCATCCCAAAACCTTACCCCATCCCCAACCCGCCCCCTCCCCCACCCAACCCCCTACCCACACCCATTCCATCCTCCCCTAACCATCCCCACCCTATCACCTACACATCCCAACCCCACCCAAACTCCAATCCCTATCTCCTTCCCCCTCCCCTGACCCGTACCCTCCCCTACCCCAACCCCCTACACCCACCTACCCTATCTTCCCTTATCTGTCCTTACCCACCCTACACATCCCCACCCTAACCCTTACTCGAATTCCAATATCCCGCCCACCCCATCCCCCCACCCATACATCCCCACCTGACCCCATGCAACCCCTACATACTGCCCCCTCCCCTTATCCAACCCCTACAACAACCCACCCCTACCCATCCCTACACATCCCCAACCCAACCCCTACTCCGATCCTATATCCCGCCCCCTGCCCAACCCCCTCCTAACCCAACCCCTACATCCATGCCCATCCTCTCCCTACCTGTCTCCCCCTACCTGTCTCTCCCTACCTGTTCCCACCCCACCCCTACAAATCCCCACCCTACCCAAACCCAGTATTCCAACCCCTCTCCCCACCCCACCCCACCCATCCTAGCTCCCCTACTCATCCTACTCACACAAACCCTAACTCCAACCCTATCCCCCAACCCACCCCACCCCACCCTCCCCTACCCCATCCCTACTCCAACCCAATAAACTAAAAGATCAAACCAGAAGCTCATGCACATCCCCAAAATGCAAAGTGTACATGTACATGTTATACCGGTATACACACGAGTACAGTACATGTTATACCAGTATACATGTACATGTAACAATTAAAAACTTTAACATTTCCTTGAATTAAAGTTCCTCAATAAATCATAAAATTTACTGCAATGATATGAACCTAACTGAAGTTATAAAGATGATACATGACAACTGCATTTAATTTTTTTCCCCAAGTTAGCTAGAACCAAAAACTTAAACATTTTTATCTGAACGCGGACGGCCGGACGGACGGACGGACGGACGGACGGACGGACGGACGGACGGACGGACGGACGGACGGGCGCCCGGACAGACGGACGGAAATTGGTATTACATAGGCTCGCATCTGCTTCGCAGCTCGCCAATAAATCAAGAAATGTAGGCATCTCCAACGATCAGTCAATTGACTGATTTTTTTAAAATAAAGAGTGCTATTGACGAAATCGTGTTTCGTGATCGCAAGGTTGTGCGTGATTTTTCAGTGTTTTCTCAAAAGGCGTAACAGCCACTGCGCTGAAACTTCAAACACGTTGGGTTTGGACAATCGTCTTTGGATTTTGAGTGGTGTTAATATTGGAAAAGAACAAACTACACAAAATGCGATATGATCCTATATGCCTTAAAGAAAGCTACGTCTTTCAATTTTTTTTTGATTCCTTACCAGCGAGGCAACTCCAGAGGGCCGGGTGTTTCGGACACTCTTGACGGCATTGAAGACATCCACAATCTTCTCAGCTTTAATTTTATCCAGCATGGACAGAATAGCACAGAAGAGTCCACTACTACGGACCCCATTTCTGCAAAAAAAGTTCCAAATAAAAATCTTATTTTTAGATTGTTTACAAAGAGAAGAATAGTTTAATTGGCAAAGCACCTGAATTCACAAACGTTGAATTGAACATGTTTCAACTACTGCAGTGAGGTTTTGGACAGTAAACATCATGTAATACTCGGTAAAGAACGATTTGAATTTCTCTCAAAACTTTTCCCAGATTTCCTCTCAAAATGTTTCAACGAAAATCTGAGATTCCTGACTGACTTACAGGCACTGGACGGTGACTGGCCCATCGTGGTCTTCTAGCCATCTCTCCAGGTACGTGATCAGCTTCAATAAGGACATCGCGGAAGACGGGATCTCAGCATCCGAGGACCAACCTTGGAACTCAAACTGTCGCACGGTGTGCGCATCGTCTTTCTGTAACGGTCAAAGAATGTTACTGTTAGTCAAGGTTGTTGTCAATCCACCACAAATCCATCACAAGTCAAAATGACGAGTATGCTGAAACAAAAAATTGATGCAAGTTTGGGTTTTCCCCCTTCACCTACATAAGCCCTGTATAGACCATTATCATGTTGCAGCCATCTTGATTTTCTCCCCATTCAAATCAACGTTACCAAAGCGATGCTGGAAGAAAGAATAGTCTGGTTCCTTTTTTTGCACAAAAAACATCATTCAGTACTGTTACTGGATACAGGGAGCATGGCTGAAATGGTGGCAGCATGATAAAGGTCCATACTTAGTGCTGTCTGAAAGCTTGTAAGGAAAAATCCACAAGCTGACTCAGGTGGGACTCGAACCCACGACCTTCTGCTTACTAAATGCAGATGTCTTCACCACTCGACCACAGAGCTTGCAGGGGTCAGCTGGCCAGTTTGATTCAGATACAGAACCCCAATCAGTCACTATTTCGCATCATGGAATTTTGCATCAGAGAGATGTCAATTCAATATTGGGCATTGCTTTCGCCAACATAAAACATTTGTCTATACTCTCATACAGTCAGAATTCCTAAAGTACACACATTACACATGAATGAGTGAAATTTACAGATTATAGAAGTTTTCGACTTACAGGTTTATTCATGTTGTCTAGAGTGAAGGTCCTGCAGATAGTGCCATCGTAGGATTCTACTGACACTAGTTGTACGCTGTATGGACCATAGGCTGACATGGACTTCTCTGGCCAGTATCTATCCATTGTCTGTAATAAAACAGAGACCAAAACAACGAACATGAAAGTTAACCCCTCCTCACCGGCAGACGGCTATGACCGCGGCTCGATCACAGGCTGTGAGCCGGAAGATGGCTAGAAGTGCATTCCCCCACTTACACATTTCATTCATCATTCACCTGCGATTGCTACAAGATTTGCATTGACCGGTGTATTTTCTAGAAGGCGAAAGTTCGGTGAACTTTTATTAGTCATAAAAAACGCATAACCTGTTCAGTGGCACCTCTTATTGCTCTTGGTTGAATAGATGGGAGTTTTCGAGCACAGCACACACGTTTTTGTTCAGTGTACGTGTGCTCATTGTTCATAACTACGCTTGGATGATCACACTGGGCTACGCACAGCGTACTACACGCATGTGCCCTAAGTGACAACTGGCCTGGAATAAATTGGAATAGAAAAGGGCAAGTGAAGTTGATCAGCACACACAAACCTCATCACTAGGATCCAGGGGGTTCAGCATGACGATAGTGGAGGAGTTGTAGTCATACACCATACTCCAGAAGTCGATGGAGGTGTTGGGCATGGGTATCTGTGTGATGATGTACTGATCTCGCTTCCAGTAGCCCTGTGTACAAGTGACAATGACCGATTTGTGTCTTTATTTTCTCCGTAGCTTTGCAACCCTCATGTGTTCATCAGTGTTGTAGTCGAGGCCACGACAAGTCCAGTCACAAGTCCATTCACAAGTAAATCACAAGTCCAGTCACAAGTACATCACAAGTCCAGTCACAAGTAAATCACAAGCCCAGTCACAAGTAAATCACAAGTCCTGTCACAAGGAAATCACAAGTCCAGTCACAAGGAAATCACAAGTCCAGTCACAAAGAAATCACAAGTCCAGTCACAAGGAAATCACAAGCCCAGTCACAAGTAAATCACAAGTCCAGTCACAAGGAAATCACAAGTCCAGTCACAAGGAAATCACAAGTCCAGTCACAAGTAATCACAAGTCCAGTCACAAATAAATCACAAGTCCAGTCACAATGAAATCACAAGTCAATTACAAGTCCCGTCACGAGTCAATCGCAAGTCTAGTCTCAAGTCAGGTCGCACGTCGAATGTTTAGTCTATTCACAAGTAAATCGCAAGTCAAAACCAAAAAACCAAAGACCAAACCAAATTAGGTTTTGCCCTTCACCGACGTATAAACACTGTATACTCAGTGTGTTACCTCCCGAGTGAAAGATGGAAAAAAATCACTCGGGTGGGACTCGAACCCACGACCTCCTGTTTTTTAGTGCAGATGTCTTACCACTCGACCACCGAGCTAACTGGATCGGTTGGTTGGTTCGAATCTGATGTACATAGCAGCGGGTACCGCATGAACTATTATAAGATGGAATTCTGCGTCAGGGTGATATAAATCAAATTAGGTTTTGCCCTTCACCGACATATAAACACTGTATACTCAGTGTGTTACCTCCCGAGTGAAAGTTGGAAAAAAAGACCAAACACTAAAGATTCAAATACAGTAAGTGATTTCACAGGATGTTTTTGTATCCTATGATTTTAATTTTGTTCAATTTCCAAGCAAGTTGAAGTATTGGAAAGTGGGGTACACTAAAATTGTGCAAAAAGACCATATCAACTAGCGAAAAAGCCATGTGTTGTATGGAAGAGGCCACTGCAAACAGTTAAAACCTTTCTGAATTTTCAGAAAAAAATGGAATTGGACTTACATTAATGAATGAAGCATTGATGTAGTTGGTACTTTGCTCTGTACCCATGGTCATTAGGTACGGTCGGCCGCGATCCACTGTGATTAATAAAAAAATAATGTTTCAACAACACAGGAACTACATTTTGAACTTGGGAGATCTCAGGACAAGTATTAAACAACCTGTGTCATAGAATTAGCAAAAACTTTTCATGAATTTTGGATCACAAAAAAGTGTGTGTTCTTTCAGCAACACGAAAACAATTCACACACATTCCTTTGTGAATTGTTTTCAGTTTGTTGAAAGAACAATTACCTTTTTTTGTGATGCGTGAACAGAACTTTAAAATGGTGGTTGTGTTTAAAGTTCCGTAATGATTCTTGTACTAAAAGAACGCTTATTCATTGGGCTTTCATATCCTAGATTGTGAAAGTGCTACATGCAGACCTTCATTAAAAAAAATGGTCCTGCCATTTGTGTTTCCCTTTTTTTGACTCGCCCTGTACAGGTGTGTGGTTCAAATTCCAAGGTGTTATTCAACATTCTTATTGAAGTTTTGTGTAATGTAATAAAACTTTATTTTTCTCAACATGTTGTTTTTACAAAAGCATACATTCAACAAATTATATAGGCGACAGTAGCCTCCCTCTACTTTGAGATTTCCACTATAGAAATGTATATACTGAGCATAAACCCCAATTTAGGCCTGTCCTGAACTTACCGAATACTCAAACATTCAATCATCAACCGAATCAATTCAAAAAGCTTTTTGCAAGTTTGAATATTCAAAAAAAAAAAAAATATGCATATACACACACCACTATGATTTTTTTATTGAAAAGTTGCAGCGATTTATTGTCAGGTGCCACTTTTTTTGTCGATGGTAACATTTTTGTTGACGGCGGTTCATCATTCACATCCTTTAACCCTAACTCCCTAGCATGATTTACTAGGAACCATACCCATCCTCGCAAATTCCAACACCATATGGGAAACTGCACACACATATTTCTGATTCTGGAGGTGTGCCAACCCAGTGTAAAAGACTGTCAGTTTAAGGGTACTGTACCCATCCTGACAGATTTCAACAAAACTGGCACGCTCTTTGTGCAACTTTTTACCAGTGCAGCACGCAGTTGCAGCTGGCAGTTTCGAATATCTGAATATTCGGTCAAATGCAGTTTCGAGTGACCGAATACTAAATTTTTCAAAAATGGAGAGCCCAACCCTCATTTTAGAAATCATTCCACTGCCACTGACAATTTGTTACACATGATTTTGATGGTCCCAGAGGGCCAGCCTAGAGTCCTCTTTGAACCTCATCTGACTGACTGACTGACGGAATGTCACTTGTGAACTGGGCAGTGCTATTGTATAGGATTACCCAGTAATGTCAATGAATGGGCTCAATCCGGCCCATTGTGTAGACCAGATGCATGAAAGGACTTCCAGTGAATAGCCATGCTGAGTCAACGGAAAAGATTCTTGTGCATTCTGGGCCAGCTTGACTATGCTCGCCTTGTCTTTGTTTTGATACAGTATTGATCAATTCATTATTAACAGGTGGCATAATGACAGGTGTATGGTGCTAGATTGTTGTTGATCTTACATGGAAGGTTATCAGGGAACCTGTTCTTGTTTGCGTTGATAGGGTCCTTCGCTCCACGGAAGCGGTCCGCCTTGGCTGGGGGTTGGAGAACTGTCAATTTCTGAAGAAGACGCAGAGAAATGATGCTGAAAAATGGTTACAAAAACTCCCCTCCCCACACAGAAAAATATCTAAGTTGCAGTGAACCCTAATCGCCAAGAACTAAAAATCCATAAATTTGGGGTCTATTTTTTTTCTATCCACGTTACATCTGACATCTATATTTATATAATTCTGGAACACTCCTTAATGCAGTCCTCCTCAAAGAGTGATTATGAATAGCAAACTACCTACCCAACAAATACAAAATGGTCGTGAACTCATTCTTTAAATGATACTTGAATGGCAAGTTACAAAGTACCAAGGTAACGGGCGGGAAAAATGTCACACTTTGGACCCTAAATTTTTAGAACGACCCATATACAAATCTTAAATTCTGGATCCACTTATGACACTGTTGACATTTTGTTGAATGTTTTCGGATTGACGTACCGAGAATTCGTCTTGCATGAGAGTGGAGCGCCCAGTTGGGCTGGGTGTGTTCAGCCTGTCCATTGCCTGCCTGAGGTCATCAACGGAGACCCACGTCTGGCCGCAGAGGAACGCTTCCAGGAGGGCGTCAAAGATGAACATATACTGCTCCTGGGACGCATAGAAGGCAATACAAGAAAAAAAAAGAAGTGATGTCTGTTTTCTGTTTGGCTCATCAGGCCGGCGTTTATCTACAGTTTCCTTGGCACGAAACGACTGAAAATATTTCTATTCCCCCTGGATGGGATGCCAGTCCATCGCAGGTTACTCCCCAGCTAACGAATTTGAAATAGTTTGTTGCCGTTCGACCTTAATAGCCAAAAGCTGAATTGTGGTCAAATTGCAATAGAAACGTGGCACTTACATATACTTAAAGGGAAGATACAACATTTGCAAACATCACAAAACGAAATGATCAAATTATCACAAAATACCATACTGGATTGTTAGGGAATGACAGTCTACAGCATCCTGTAAAATCATGGCTCCTGGTGTGCTGACATTTTCAAGAAAAATTGTATTTTTCCAACGCTGGTCGGCCGACCAGTGTTGGAGAAAACTGGCTTTTTTGAAAAAACTGCTCCTACTTTTTCATAATTAGTTATTCCGCGTTTTCTTTGCAATTGATTACACAACTGTGAAGGGGTACAAGCCTGCTAGACTGATTCTCTCACCTTACAATTCCCTAAAGTCTATAAATTCTCCATTTCATCTTAAATGGGGTCAGGGAACCAGACTACAAGAACATGAATGGTTTTCTTGGTTTTTCCAGCATCTACAAGCCCAAAACGTGAAACAAGTCTATTTAACAATATTTGTTTTAACATACTAATCCTCCAAATCGATTTATTTCTGAAAAGTGCAGCAAAAGCAAATGTTGTACTTTCCCTTTAAAACAAGAGGACTTTAGCAATGACATTAAAAGAAATGATAGAGGAGTATTATTTCAAAAAGACCAATAACATCTAAAACTGATATAATGATCAATTACGTGTATCGGCTGGAGCAGTGTTTAAAATTGGGAAACATTAAAGATAAAAACAGTTCTCTCTCTCAAGACAAATAATATAGATATTTCTGTACCAGGCGGATTTACAGGGCTGTAAAGAGAATCTTTTGGTATCAGACAAAAATTAAAAGTTATAGCGTTAAATACGTGACTGTAAAAAGCTTTAACTAATGTCGGTACTAATACTCCTGAGTGGAGAGAGGCAAAGTGGGGGTGAAGTGGCTTGCCCAAGGACACAACATATGGCCAACAGCTGGATTCGAACCCCTGATCAAGAGTCACGAACCCTAACTACTACGCCACACTCCCCTACGGACCGTGAGAGATAAAGAGGCTGCGTTCAGACCGGGCCGCTTACCTGCGTCTGGACCATCCTGACCCTTCTGTCTCGCATATTGGTGGCAAACTGCAGTACGTCCACCTGTCCCTCTCCCTTGGCTTGATCCAGCATGGCATCGATGGTGATGAAGGTTCCTGTGCGACCCACCCCAGCGCTGAAACAGTCACCGCAAAAATACACACAATATGTGTAGTAAGTCAGAACGGAAAAATGGCAAAATTTTTTGCATTTCGGGGTTGGAAACATAGCTTATATGTGATGCGATCAAGCTACATGAGTCGTTTGTCGGGAAGTTTCATCTGCAGATACAGGCCAAAATACATCACAACACTTCATCACATTTCTTGGTTTTCCGACTTCCATAATTTTTGAACTAAAGATGGTATCAGCATGTGGTTTTCACAGCAGTAATGCTGAGATTGTGCTCTTTTCAAATCTGTCATAATTTTTGTTTTTGACTCGGGTCGACAAACGACTCATTTAGCTTGATTGCATCACATATGTTGCCAACATTGTGAGTTTTGGGTGATCCCTAGTCATATGGGGCCTCTAGGCAACTTTTGTGAGCATCTCACCAAATGTTGTGAGGATGGATTCTGGGGCAAAAATTAACTCTTTTGATGATGCCGGCTACGCAAAAACTTTTGGATTTCTGGTCATTCGATGAAAAACCTTCAATCTTATTTACGGCTTCTGACTAGTGCCCCTTTTAAACACAGATTTTGACCAATAAAGAGGCTGAAAGGTCACTTGGTTGAGTGCTGGTACTGTGTTCTAGAGGTCCTCGGTTCAAATCCTGCCCTGGTTAATTTCTTAGTTCAACTTGAAATTCTCATATGAAAATCAAACCTTCTCTATGAAAATCAAATAATTTGATTTAAAATCAAACCTAGTCAGTTTCCAAATTATGGTTATCGGAAGAAATTCCAGGACTTTTTGAGGATTCTCACTAAAAATATTTCCAAGATAAATATTACCCATACCTCGTTCCTAATTTCTCTAGCAATAGAAAACTTCCCCATAACGTGGCGTCGACTATGGCATAATGACCAGCCTTACCCTTACCTGCAATGCACAATAATTGGTCCCATATCGGGATATTTGGCGCAGCCTTCTTTGACCACGGCTACAAATCGGAGTAGGGGACTAGCGTACTGCGGCAGGCCCATGTCCGGCCATGACGTGAAATGATACTGCATGAGTTTCCTTTCCTCGTCGCCCTAACCAAAAAAAAAAGCAAAACAAAAATTAAAGATAATATACAACAAATGGACAGATTTGGGTGTTAGTACTTTATAGCAAATAACATTCCACTGACACGTTTAAAGTTTAGTGTTCATGGAAGCCAAAAAAATGCAACAGACAACATTTTTCAGGTCTAGTTCCCTATTAAACACGACGCTTCAGATGAAACAGAACAAGTTATAGACGTCAGGGCATTGTCAGGTCAGGGAACCAGACTAGCTGGTTTGCACCTGTTCAGGGATATGTAACCAATTGCAAACAGAATGTGGACTAAACTAAATCTGGTCAATTGGGGGCAGTATTTGAAAAAAGCCATTTTCTTCAACGATGCTTCCGCCGAACCATCGTTCGAAAATGATACAAAAGTACACTTTCTTGAAAGGGCAGCACACCAGGGACCATGATTTCACTGGCAACTTTTTACTAGCAGTCAAGTAAGGTACCTAATAATAGTTTGGTGGTTTCGTTTTGTTAATGTTTGCAAATGTTGGACATTACCTGCCAGTATCTCTTTTGTAACGACCATGACATCAAAGAAATATTTTGCACTTTTCAATTCAATAATACTTACCTTTTTCACTTTGAAGGCCCGTACAATATAGTCGGCAAGTTTTGACTCGCTCTCCAATGTCACCTCAATCCCACTGTAGGATCTGGATGTCGTGGGCCAGTACTGTTCACATTTTTTCTACGGAGAAATTTGTCAACCAATCAAAGCTGATGTCATATGTTTATGGAAATTAGGTGATTAAGGTTTGACCAATTAGAATGGATGTATCAAATATATGGTTGTCGTATTATGAGAGTCAGATAAATATGATTTTGTTCTGTGTGACGCTCTTTTAAAAATTTTTGACCAATCCAAATACGTGTACCATTTGACCGATTCATAAATAATGAGATATTGAGTTTTAACCAATCAGAACTGACGTACTGCACCAAGGTATTTATGAGAGCTGCTAAACAAATTTCTACCAATCGTAATCAATGTAAAATCTGAGATATATCGTTGTAATGGGTAATTATGTTTTGACCAATCAGAACTGATGTATGACCAGTGTTCATGAAAAATGGGTGACGAGGGTTTGACCAATTACAAACACCCAAGTTGTTAATGGATTTGACAAAAATAACGACCAGGAAGATATTTTCAAGGAAAGTAACCGGTGAAAAGTCACAAAGTTTCTTTAAACTTGTCCTAAACTGATGAAAAAACTGTGTCTGTTTCAGACGGGTTGTTATTTTTTACCTTTCCTCCCTCGACAAGATGCGTTACCATGACAATGATGTTTGTTTTCTCCTGCCAAATCATGCGCCACATGTCCTTAGTGGATGCTACATTGGGGCCTGTGTCAAAGAACATGAATGTTCAAATCATGAATTACGATAATAGATTTCTTACAAAAGAAACCCCCCCCCCCCAACAACCAGTGATAAAAAAATGTGACCAGCTCTACAAAAAAGGGTATTAAGTCGCCCTTAGCATTATTGTGTAATGGCCCGTTCAACATTGAGAGGGTGAACATTTCGTCAAAATGTGATTTTCATTTTTTGTCATGAATGACATTTAATACCTGAAGTTTCAGGTTTCTTTCACAGAAATGTTGATTTTGATGAACAAAGTGAAAAAAACAACCATTTCGTGTGTATCGTTCTGTTGTTCTACAACAAAGCCAGTTATTTCAAAGCCCGTTTTCTCAGTTGTGTAATTTGAACTCCAAGGAAGTAGTTAATATGCAAATATTCATCATATCTCCAGAACGGGAGGGGCTATGGAGCTCTATTATATACCAAATGAAAGCTTACATTGTGGGCTTTCCAACCATGTATATAACTCAGTTTCACTTTTTTTGCGACATAATTCCCTTTTTTTGTGGAGCCGGTCACAAATGGCTGTTAACAGAAGCACCTTAAAGGCCCATGCTCGTGTTTGCTGCTTGTACCGTAACCAATCTTCGAAGACCGTCCCGAAACTGATCTGGTGTTTTCCAATTTTGTATTTCTTATTCTGGGCAGCCTTTCTTTTCTTGACAGCCGGTGGCGATATACCAAGGCGACTGCCGAGTCCACTTCTACTTTTTGTGAGACTTTGATGGCCAGAAGTTGATGGTGTGGAGTCGTCAGCCATTGTCAAGCTTTTAATTTATGTCTTTTGGATACGGATCACAAGCGCTACAACTTTTTTTATAACATGAAAACTATTGTGTCTACTGTACTATAAAATATTGCTAAAGTAGCTGTGGCCAAGGAGAAGTTGAACACAGAGAAAGATGGGGGCTGGATTGACAGAAATGGGAAAATATGTAAACTTATATACCGTTTCAGAGGGGCAACTTTGGGGGAAAATAGGATATGATGTCATGTAAGGAAAACATACCGAAAGTTGGATGACATCATTTCTTAGTAAACTTAGACTGACCTAAGTACCTTTATGATGTCATTATTCCCTGTACAACGGTGAAATCACAATTTTGGTATGCTGTAGTATGTAAGACTATTACAAGGAAAGCCTCCAGGCCATTATGGGAACCATCAATTTTACGACCAGTGGCTGTCTGACAGCAGCCAGGCTGCTGACCACTGGGGACTTTGTGGTCAAGTATCTGATCTGACTGTTGATTGATAGAACAGTGTTTCACAGTGTGGGGTCTGCTGTGTCCTTATAAAGGTTAAAACGTCCGAGTGATTTAGAAACCAAAAAAAGCTCCACGAGAGACCCCCTTTAATGGTGTGCAGCTAATAAGCCAGTTGGGTATTTCAACTGCGCATGTGCACAATGATGTGGGTCACGGATCATCCGGGATAATCGAACGTTTCAAAGGCGCATGAACGCGCAGAATGAGCATGCGCGTAACATCGCGTAACATCACATCAGCGATGTCATCCCAGGTCATTAAAATACCAAACCGGCTAATTCTTAACATGTTATTGTACATGTTTACCAGCAGTAGTTCATTTGTGACGTTACTTACACCTGCGCACTACCAATAGCAACGTGCGAATATCTCTAGTTAAATGATGGCCAAGACCACATGGAGCAAGTTCAGGCAAGGACCGTTAGTCAACTACCCGTTAAGTAAGCTGGGCTGGAATAGCCAGCCAGACTAGTCTAACTATAGTCAACTAGCATGGGTTCAAACAAAGATTGTCAAACTGTCGTCAACAGTAAATAGTTCTCTAGGATTTTTCTCATGCCTACTGGTTTGGGGTCATAGGTCACAGCAAACTGTCAGAATCTTTTGGGGGTCTTAGGCTGATGAGGCCCCCTAACATACCTATTTTTTATTTTAAATTGATGCAAAATATATTTAGGCCAATGTAAGAAAGTGTCTGCCTTTCAAGAATCAAAACCAATAAAATACTAAATTCTAAACCCGACATACCTTGTGAGGCTATGTACTTTCTGGGATGTTTATATCCCTAAAAAACAAAAACAAAAAAGAACAAAGAGACGTTATCACAATCAAATTAGGAGTGTATTTCCTCAAACACACAGATGAGTCATTTGATTCAGCAAAGTAAGACATGGTATCTGTTTATTGTCACAGAAAAGCAAGGCAAAGGTATGACATCTGGTTTGCAAAAGCCATTAGATCAGTGGCTAGCGGTAACACACAGGTCTATGGGTAGTGGCTACAGCCGCTCCCATAGGCGCATGTGTAATTGAAAGCCGTAGCCATGTCAGTCAGGCACAGCCTAAGTCTTCTTACGAGCACTTAACTTACATCTATGTAGCTTGCATTGACGTAGTCTGAATGGGGATCCCCGTCAAGCTTGTCGAGAATGACGCGAGAGTGGTCATCTAGGAGAAACAGGACAGATTAAAGATGAAATGAGGATAGTCTGCTCCTTATAGACCTTTTGCGTTGAGGCGGAGTCAGAGGGCAATTGGTTTGGTATCGCTGGGATAGGCATGAGTCATCCTTTTGCGCATTCTTGGCTACCAAATTTAAATAACAAAGAACACCCTCTGAGGTATCTCTAAATGCAAAAGCTCTATTGACAAGAAAAGCGAAGTGCAGAGAAATGCTTGAGCCTGAGCACAAGTAAACATTTTCCATTTCCAATTTTGAAAGCCTATTATAATTATCAACCTTCTCACACATGTCCTCAACAGTAGTAGACATCCACTTACATGCTATGATGTTGGCATAGCGATTCTTCACTTTGTTTTCATCTTTCTTGGCGACATCCATCGGGTGAATTTGGTCACTTGGGAGACCCTGCAGTCAGGAAAGAAAGTGGAGGTAGTGAAATGACAATAATTACAAATCACGATATTATATTTGTGACCGGCTCCACAAAAAAGGGTATTATGTCGCAAAAAAGTGAAATTGAGTTGTATACATGTTTGGAAAGCCCACAATGTAAGCTTTCATTTGGTATATAATAAGAGTTCCATAGCCCCTCCCGTTCTGGAAATATGATGTATTTGCATATTAATTACTTCCTTGGAGTTCAAATTACACAACTGAGAAAACAGGCTTTGAAATAGCTGGCTCTGTTGTAGAACAACAGAACGATGCGCACAAAATGGTTATTTTTTCCCGTTTTATTCATCAAAATCAACTTTTCTGTGAATGAAACCTGAAACTGTAGGTATTAAAAATGTCATTCATGACAAAAAATAAAATTCACATTTTGACGAAATTTTCTCCCTCTTAATGTTGAGTGGGCCATTACACAATAATGCTCAGCGCGACTTAATACCCTTTTTTGTGGAGCCGGTCACATTTATAAAGGAAAACCACCTCACCAGAATCAAAAGTAATTTTTGGCATAACCAGGCATACAAATTTCACTATAGGTGTGAGTAGGATTACGCCATCCAACGAAAACATTTGGGCCCAATTTCACGGCGCTGCTTAACAGTTAGCAGAAAAGTTGTGCTTAGCATAGCCGAAAAATGTGCTAACCTTAAGCACTATTTCACGGCGTGGACATGTTAACCCTCGCGCGTGCATGGAGATTTCTATTGTTACGTCGCTAAGTTAAGCGATTTTTTCCTCTGAAGTAAGTGTGCCTTTTGCTGTGCTTATGCTAACGGTCTCAATGAAATAGACGGAGGCTCTGTTAGAAGAAAACAGTGTGCTTAGCAGCGCCGTGAAATTGAGCCCTGTTCATTTGCACACCAGTTTTTATCGGTTGCCATGTGTAACCATTCAGCACTCCAGACTCAAGAACCACTGAATGTAAAGAATATGGGTCTGGGAGCTAGATTTAGCCAATGTCAGAAAAATCTTGCATGTCCGTGCCCACTTTTATCAGGATTGACTTCAAATGTTCTCCGAGGGCACTTCTCAAGTGAGCTACCTTTTTGGGGCACATCGTATGAGCGCACTGGTTCAAGAGATAGTGCACCACTAATTTCAACCTAAATATGCGCCGTGAAATTGGGCCCTGTTCATTTGCACACCAGTTTTCATTGGTTGCCATGTGTTACCATTCAGCACTCCAGACTCAAGAACCACTGAATGTAAAGAATATGGGTCTGGGAGCTAGATAAACCAATGTCAGAAAACTCTTGCATGTCCGTGCCCGCTTTTATCAGGATTGACTTCAAATGTTCTCCGAGGGCACTTCTCAAGTGAGCTACCTTTTTGGGGCACATCGTATGAGCGCACTGGTTCAAGAGGTAGTGCACCACTAATTTCAACCTAAATATGCAATTTGTAACCCTTCACACACTGTCATTTCTAAGCCAAATACATGTAGCGCCCTCGTGCGTCCAGGCATGGAGCCATTAAAATGGTTTATAATGGTTGACTCACCGAATAGTCTACCCTGAAGCCTTCATTGTTCTTGGCTTTCTTGGCTTTCACGTAGTCGGAGAGCTTGTCCACCTTGACTGGTCCCGAGGATGGCTTTTCCTTGGTCACTCTGGCCGTCGGCTTCCTGTGGATGTCGGCCGGCAGTGTGGAAGAGTTGGAGGGCGCGGGGCGAAGGTCGCCCTCTGGAGGCATGGTATCGGCCATGTTGGTCAGGGCGTCTTCGGAGGCGACATGCTTCATCTGGGGACTGGGGGGCGACTTCTTTGTAAACTTGGAATCTGGAAGGTGATATAGGGAGATATTATGAGAACAGGAATGGGGATTTCTTGCAGCCAGCAAGTTGGGAAATTTGAAGGGGGGGGGGAGGAAGTGGGAGAGTAAGCTGACGCTAGCCAACCCAAGGAAACTTTGTTTAAACATGCGTTTTTGTATACAACACCAATCCCCCAGTATACTGTTGCATAATAGCTGAAATAGATAGTGGAACGTGAGAAATATTGTTGGGTTGGGAATTATTTTGGGTGGCGGGGGGACACCCAGCCAAAAAAAAAAACCTGTCTCGTTTAGATAATTCTTCAGTTTAATCAACGGTTAATATGAGTTAAGTTTGACGTTAAAAAATTACAAACAAAAAGTAACTAGCTTTTAAATAAGCAGCATCATGTACTGAAATGTACCAAAATAAGAGCCCGGCAATTAATACAGACAAAAAATGTAAAAAACAAATACAGACAAAACACTTACCATCAATTGTTGTCATTCCAACAGAATCGAAGGGCTTTGCAGTCTTTTGGGCACGTCTGTAACGCAACAAAAATTGTTTGATTGTATACTTCAGAAAAAAAGGCTGGAGAATGAATTATGAAACACTTTCTTACTTTCAGTGAAAAACAACACAAGTCAAGGCAGTAAAGCTGGTCCTAGAGTGCACACAATTATATTCCATGGATTCAGAATGACTTTTCACTGGACGTCTTTCCATGCACCTGGTCCATTCATTGGCATTACTGGGTAATCCTATACAATAGCACTGCCCGGCTCACAAGTGACAGTCAGTCAGTGAATCAGTGAGACAGGTACAACGAAGACTCTAGGCTGGCCCTCTGGGACCAGCAATCTAGAAAGCTTACCTCCGCTTGACCACCATCACTCCTCCAAAGATTAGAAAAGAACCGATCAATAGCACCAAGACCACGGCAATTATGGTCCCAATGGACCCGCCCCCATCTTCAGGTGACGGCGGTTGGGGTGCATCACCATAGTCACCAGCTGAAGTAAATAAAGCGAAAAATGACTATGTGCATATCTAATAATCGTGTAGTTGAGCAAAGGAATCGACTGGAGTGGGGTTTGAACCAGGTACCCCCAGACCAGTGATCTACCAACCGAGCTATTGGACATTTCATCATACAAAAGCTGTATCCTCTTTGTGTGATCCCTGTTTGCTATGCTTGATCATGCTGCCGCCATTTCAGTCATGTTCCCTGTATCCAACAACAGTACTGAATGTTGTTTTTTTGTGCAAAAAGGAACCAGACTATTTTTACTTCCAGCCTCGCTTTGGTTACGTTGATTTGAACGGGAAAAAAAATCAAGATGGCCGCAACATGACAATGGTCTAGTCCCCAGGTTTGCAGCATGGCTAATGTCGCTAGCATCATGACTTTGGGTACAGGCATGCAACTGGGACATCACAAAAAAAAGAGGACATTCACATCTTTCCAAGACTTTGTATAGTGTTTTCTATGTTTAAAGGGAATATACAACATTTGAAAACATCGAAAAATAAAACTACCAAGTTTTTATGAAATACCTTACTAGGATGTTGGTAAATGACAGTCTCAAGCACCTTGTAAAATTATGGCACCTGGTGTGAAGTCATTTTCAAGAAAATTGTATTTTTGTATACATTTCCAACGGTGGTCGGCCGACCAGCGTTGGAAAAACCTAACTATTTTTCAACTACTGCTCCAAATTTACCATTTTTTCAGTCCAAATTTTGTTTGCTATTGACTACATGTTCATGAACGGGTGCAGGCCAGCTAGACTGGTTCCCTTGCCTTAAAATTTTCCATCATCTATAAATTGATCCATTTTATCTTTTGTGGAGTCAGGGAACCAGACTACTTGAACATTTTTGTTTTTCTTGGTTTTTCCAATCTTTTCGAACACAAAACTTCAAAAGTGTCAGTGTAACAATATTTGATCTATTATACTAACCCCTCAAATAGTTCATTTCTGAAAATTACAGCAAAAACCAATTATGTACATATCCTTTAATGGTGGAATGGGCAGTAAAAAAAGAGGAAACCAGCTGATCCGGGCAAAAGTTCCATGCCTGTTGGAATGATCCCTGGCTACATGGCATATACGGGTTTATGGCTTCTGACTATCGCTCTCGAACACGGACATTGACAAACTGGGGGACTGCCAACATAGGGCTGGATAGCTCAGTTGGTAGAGCACCGGAACAGCAATCTGTAGGTCACAGGTTCAAACCCCCCTCCTGTCAATTTCTTGGTTCTACAATACAGCAATGGACAGCCGCATTTAAAAGCAGTCACAGAATTGGTAAAGGTACGTTTTAATTTCCATTCTATTGATTTGTTGGTTAATTTTTAATAATTTCATATTTGATCCAATTCAGGAACCATATGAAGAAAAATTGTGTTAGCAAAACCATGCAGCTATCAATACCTTTGCTTACTATAACATAACAACATATTGCCAATTCTTTATCATTCTTTATATTTATTTGTTTATTTTGTTCATCTTACCTGTGACTTTGATAGGTTTCGACAGAGCAACCATATGCGACTTGATGGAAGGAAAAAAAAAGAATTGAAATCACATTTAAAAAAAGGGAAAGAGAAGCTGTGGCTACATCAACAACATTTAGCAAACAAGCTGGATCGGATCTTTGAAGCTGCGGGCCAATGATGCATAATCTTCTATTTTGACCTTTGACCCCATATAGGTCAGATGAAGAGGTCACCATGGACATTTGTTTAATGCTTGACCAAGGCCAACATGTTGACAGCACTACTTTTGTCATTTTAAGCTTCTTTGAAATTCGACCTATTTTGACCTTGACTCCAGATGACCTCTGACCCCAGTTTGGTCATGTGACATGTTGGGGCTGAGCTACTGATACTTTCGAGAAAGTTTGGTTGAATCGGTCAAAGTATGTAGGAGCAATAGACAATGTCAACGTTTGTTACTAACAAACGGACTAAATAATAATAATAATAATAATAACACGATTTATAGCGCGCATTTTCGCAAGTAACAATGCGCGACTAAGGACAACTCCAGAAGACAATTTACAGATTATGTGGAGAAAACAGATCAGTTTTCAGTCTGCCCTTAAAGTTGTCAAGAGAACTGATGTTGCGGATGTTGTGTGACAAGGAATTCCAGCATCGGGGACCAGACACTGAGAAGGCCCTGTCCCCTGCCTTTTTGAATGTGCGTGGAACTCTAAGGTTGTTACTGGAGCGGAGGCCACTACAGCTGGGTGCATTAGAGAGACATGATGATTTGTTGAGCATGACTACCCGCAGATAAAAAAAAATTCTGAAAAATATCTTGGACATGAAGAGAAATCATCTTCAGGGACCACATTTCATGGAAAAGGCCAAATTACAAAAAAACCTCAAGTTGCTATTTGGTGTTCTTCAACAAATTTAATTTCGTTTTCCTAACGAGTTTCCGATTTCTCAAAAAACTACTTTAGTTTCTACTTTAGCATCTGCAACCCCTTCGAAAAACAAAGCTTTTGTTTTGGGTTCTTTTTGCTTTCCTAAAGCTTTAAAAGATCTGCCTGAATTATTGTCGGTCCGCAAATACTAATTTCAGTCGATGTCTCATTCAAAAGAGAGGAACATTAGTTTTGCAATACAAATAATGATTAAATTTTTTTACTTTTTATAAAAAAAAAGAGTGGGTAGTTTTTTTCCTTCGATGTCTTATACGGAAGTGAGTAACTTTAGTATTACTATAGAAATAACAATTTTGGAGAAAAAAAATAAAAATTTTCAGGAAGCAACTTTGAGATCATTTCATAAAGATTTTCAGCAAGTACTCACATCATCTGTTTTGCTACTGGATCCTGTCTGTATTTCATAAGTCGCCCCTTCCTGCAGCGGTGGATTGTAATACCCTCCGTACGTCTTATTATCGCCGATCTCAAAAGTCCCCGTGTGCTCGCTTTTGTTGACTTCCCCGGCCCAGTAATGGCCTGGGTTTGCATCGTAGCTTCCAAAATCTTCCTGTTGAACAGGGAGTGACTGGCGTCGCTTTCTGGAGGACGTTTTGTTCACCTTGACGAGGTAGGAACTGAGATGACAAGGCAAAACTCGTCTTGAGTTGAGACTTAAGACAAATAGTAAGGACTTACATGTACCTCATTATGATATATCTGGGATTCGTTGAACATGTGGGGTGTTTATCTGCAATTTGACCATTGAATTGTCTATCGAGTCTGAACAAACTTACTGCAATGAAATTGAATCAATACAAATATATCTTAATTTCTGTGAAAACACTTAGACTTACACAACGTAATCATTGTCCACGATGGGAATGGAGATGACCACTTTTGTTCCGGTAGACATCTTTGGATCAACAATCGGGGCGACCGGGGCAGGAATATCTGAAAATCAAAGGAATCCAGATATCAAAAATCATTTTCATTACATATATTTCCTCCCCAGAACAACTTCTTGCAGGATTTAATCAGAATTGTTGGATACATAAAGCTGCTTAGAAATTTAGAATCCGTAATTTTTGTAAGACAGTGATTGAGATTGGGAGAAATGGAAAATCCATTCGGTAGATGGTTTGAGGGCATAGAGCTATATTAAATTACTAGAGCGTTAACTCGATGTACAAAGTAATGCCTGCTGGGCGCGTCCATGTTTGTGCACAAACCTATGGAAAACTCGAAATTTTGTACGGCTTTTGTACGGCTATTTGCATATCTGCATTTGTATTCCACACCAGTGCGTCATCGAAGCCGATACGCCCAAAACTGAAACGCAAGATCAGCAAATGAGCGTTTCATTTTGCTCTACGCAAACAGCGCAACGTGTGCGCGTCCCTCCGCTGCAGATGCTTTTCGCCGTGACGCTTTTTGAACCGTCATGACACGCTTAAGTTATTTGCGTATCTTCTACTTGTACACTTTTAAAATTCAATCCATCTATTTTGATAGTGTTTAACAAACACGCACATAAATTCAAAATGTCTGTGCCCAGAGCGGCTTCAAACCGACTCCGCGCGCAAGAATGAGGAGTTAGCGCTCTAGTAATTTAATATAGCTCTATGTTTGAGGGTCACCAAGGATTACCTTAATGCCCCCCCCCCCTTAAAATTCCCATTTCTTTTGTTCTACATAAGCTTTTATTGGTGAAAACATCTTTACGGTTAAACCTAGTTTAATTGTGGTACCCGCTGCTACATCAGATTTGAAAGCTAATCCCAGAAAGCTAGGTGGTTGAGTGGTAAGACGTCTACACTAGAAAGCAGGAGGTCGTGGTTTTGAGTCCCACCCAAGTGATTTTTTTTTTAAATTTCACTCGGGAGGTAACACACTGAAAATACAGTGTCTGTACGTCGGTGAAGGGCAGAACCTAATACTGAAGGACAAATCCTACCGAAAATTCCTGACATCAGGTAAAATCCTGCCAACAATTCCTCATATCAGGTAAAATCCTGCCAAAAGTTCTTGACATCAGGAAATATCCAGTCAAAAATTCCTGACATCAGGTAAAATCCTGCCAAAAATTCCTTATATCAGGAAATATCCAGACAACAATTCCTGACATCAGAAAATATCCAGTAATCAACAAATTCCTGACATCAGGTAAAATCCTGACAAAGGTTCCTCATATCAAGAAAAATCCAGTCAAAAATTCCTGACATCAGGTAAAATCTAAACCAAAATTCCTGACATCAGGTAAAATCCAAACAAAAATTCCTGACATCAGGTAAAATCCAGACAAAAATTCCTGACATCAGGTAAAATCCAAACAAAAATTCCTGACATCGGGTAAAAATCCAAACAAAAATTCCTGACATCAGGTAAAATCCAGACAAAAATTCCTGACATCAGGTAAAATCCAGTCAAAAATTCCTGACATCGGGTAAAAATCCAAACAAAAATTCCTGACATCAGATAAAATCCAAACAAAAATTCCTGACATCAGGTAAAATCCAGACAACAATTCCTGACATCAGGTAAAATCCAAACAAAAATTCCTGGCATCAGGAAATATCCAGTCAAAAATTCCTGACATCAGGTAAAATCCAAACAAAAATTCCTGACATCAGGTAAAAATCCAAAAAAAAATTCCTGACATCAGTTAAAATCCAAACAAAAATTCCTGACATCAGGTAAAATCCAGACAACAATTCCTGACATCAGGTAAAATCCAAACAACAATTCCTGACATCAGGTAAAATCCAAACAAATATTCCTGACATCAGGTAAAATCCAAACAAAAATTCCTGACATCAGGTAAAATCCAGACAACAATTCCTGACATCAGGAACAACCCTGCCAAAAATTCCACATATCAAGAAATATCCAGCCAAAAATTCCTGACATGAGGGAAAAATCCTGACAATTTCTCATCCTTGGAGACACAAATGAAGATCAAATAATATCAACATATTTAATTAAATTAATAAATTAACAAGAGTCATACCTGATGCCGGCTCAGTATAAGCCTCCATCACGGCTGCTGGCCCCGGCCCCAGTCGCGTGGATGCAGTCACCATAATCTCGTATTTAGTGCCGGGTAGCAGTCCAAGTATGCTCCTCCCCCTTACTTCAGGCGTCGTATCAGAATCAGTATACTCCGAGGAAGGCCTGAAATCTGGATCATAGGGCTTGTCGATGACTCGATATTTGACCTGTTGATAAAAACAAGCTTAGGCTTATCCTCAGTATTCGTGTTTTCTGATCACGCAATTTCTGTTTATTCTTTCAAGCAAGCAGCTCCAAGTTTTTGTTGAAAAAAGATGGACGGGTACAATTTATATTAGGTCTTTGGACTGCATAAACGGCAAAACACGTGAGTTTGCTAAACTGTGCGTGTACATATCCTGCATGTATGGTGCAAAGTAGGTCGTTTCCTTACAATACTGTTTGTTGCTCTTTAATCAGACATTCTGTTTTCTGTTTAAAGTTTGTATTTAAAAAAAAAGTAAAATACTAAGAAAAAGGCCTTCAAAATGTTGAGTTTTGTTATCATGAAATTGAAAGATGCTAACTGTTTTCCCTTAAAAACACTTTTATTTTGTACCATGTTTAACAAATGTGCAGGTGACATATCAAAGATTATAAATATCAATAAATCTGAAAATTGAAAAAAAAATCGCCCCCATTCGTTTTTTGGGGGGGCATTTTTCTCCACTACAGCCTGTGCCCACTTCCGCCTCATTTTTCTAGAACGCCTCACAGTTGTCTTGCTAAGCAAAAATTAGCGGGGAACCAGTCACAAGCAATATAAATACAGTGATTTGGCTGGTAACCTGGTTTTGGTAAGCACATTTTTATTCTGTGCTCTGCATATTCTGTGCTAAGTGGTTCAATGAAATTTGCTTCTTTTGTGGTGTTCCCTAACATGGCGCACTTCGACGTTTACCCCGACTTTCCATATGTAGTGTTGCCAAACTTCTTTGTTGACAAACTTCAAATTCATTAAGTGAAGTACTGGTACTTTTACCTTATTAATGCTTGCTATTTAACCTCTGTGAACAATTTGGGTGTCATGAAATTTTGATTTAATCCGAAATTCAAAAACGGTGGCGTCCGGAAATTGGGCACAAAATTGGCCGAGTGTTCCCTAACATGGCGCACTTGAATAAATCTCAGGAAGATCCAAATTAGCAATTAAGAATTTCTGTAAAGTTGATAAATTCTGATAAACCATTATTATCTCTACTTACATACCCCACTAGAAGTTTGTCAGAAAAGCACTTTCTTAAATTGGTGGACATTTTCAAAGGGTTCACTGTGCACTTCGAAATAAAATCGGAAAATCCAGCCAAAATAGATTTTTCTTCAAACATAGTAATGGGTAGATAAACTCGTGATTTAGGGTACATCAACAAAAGTGTGGAAGTTTTACCACTCATCTATCAGGCTTTTTAAATTTACATCGTCCCAACAACTCAATAAAAAACATAGACTGCTTTGACTCACCGTGTATTTAATGATTTGCCCATTGGGTGCTGTTGGCTCATCCCACGCGATGGACAACTCTGTCTGTTTTCTGCTTACGACCCTGAGCGACGATGGCATATTGGGAACTAAAAAAAAAGGAATTTGAGCCAAGGAAATTTGATTGAATTGCAATGTTTGACTGGAAAATTGTTGTTTAAAGAAAAAAAAAGTCTGGTTTGATGAAGTTCAGCCCTTACTAGAACCTTCAAAATCGTTAGTAGGTTCCGATAAACACTTTTTCAGGCTTTTTGAAGATACAACGCTAGGGCTGTCATTTTCAAATAATTTAGTATTCGATTACTTGAAACTGTGTTTGACCGAATATTCGGATATTCGAAACTGCCAGTTGCAACTGCGTGCTGCGTGGGTAGCATGTTCGCACCAGTTACAATTTGCATGCGACAATCGACATTGGCTGCTAGAATGATTTGCAGTAAGTATTGCATAAATCTGGACGTACATTTGAGTAAAAAAAGAAAGAAAAAAAACCAGTCTCCTGACGATGACTAGAGCAGGCTAGTCGAAACACTGAGACTAAAGACAAGTTCTTTTAGAACTTAAAGCAGGACTGTTCTTATCAGAACTAAAAACTACTTAGCGAAAGTTGATAATACGCAGGACTGTTCTTATCAGAACTAAATATCTTCTAAGCAGTATTTATTATCACATGGTGTTACCGCAAACCGAAACGATATTGTATAACTGTCAAAGGCTTTAACCTGCTAAAAGGATGTGACCGATGAAACCCTGTCAACAATAAAAGGTAACGGCGACAGCAAAGTGGCACCTGAAAAATAAAGCCCCGCAGCTTTACAATAAAATAGCATCACAGTTGTGTGTGTTTGTGCGCAGTTTTTTGGTTTTCGAATAATCAAACCGGCAAAAAGCTATTTGAATAATTGGATGATGGAATATTCAAGTATCGGGTATATTCGAGACAGCTGTACACAACACAGTCTCAAGACCCCTTGAAAGTTAAAGGCAAAAAAAACAAATTCATTTGGGTTCCTTCAAAGTGGTGGATTCCATAGGATTCTGGACAGCCGTTTCCTAGCATTTGGTGACATTTTGCAAAGATGAGTTTAAGAGAGTCTAGCCTCATCATCAAGTCTGATTTCTCTCCATTATAAAAACAGCCGTTGCCATAACGATACTTACTTCCTTCCTGTGTTATGCGATAGACGGGTTCACTCAAAACGCCTCGGTTGACCACTGTTTCAGCTTGGACCTGAATTTGAGTAAAAAAAGAAAGAAATCAAAACAGCAAATTAGAAAATCAGAAAAAAAGTTAGAAACTGATAAAACTGATTGTGGTGGACCAACTTTGTAAACAGACAAAGTAATTCCCAATTTAATTTAAATACTATAAACAATCGTTTGAAGCAACAAAAGTGCTCAAAATCTAAGAGACGCATGCTTAACAATTGCAATTAACCCGATGAAATTTTAGCTCTGTGAATGCTGTACATACTGAGAAAACACAGTACTCTTGATCTCAATTTCAGTTCTAAGTTGCAATGTCAAAGATATCTACCGGACCATCCAAAAAACTCCTTAACAATAGTTCCACTAAGTTCCCTACTTGTCATTCTAAGAAGATTATTTGTGATCGCTTTGCCCTGTTTTTCAGTGATAAAGTTGTTCAGATCAGACGTGGCCTTGATAGTATCATTCAATCAGTCCCCATGCATACCATTCCTGGCCATGTTTCTAATGTTATCACCCATCCACTCTGAATTTGAATGTGTTGATGAACAGGAAATTATCAAATTCATCACTGGTTCCTCTAACAAATCCTGTTCTCTTGATTCAATGCCTACTTGGCTGCTTAAAGCAAATGTCCATGTTCTTGCGCCATTCATAAAACATATGATTAACTATTCCTTTTCCACAGGTACCTTCCCGCATGACTTGTCTCAGGCTATTGTCACCCCCATACTCAAAAAACCTAATCTGGATGTAGACGAGCTAAAGAATTACCGTCCAGTATCCAATGTTCCTTTTTTATCCAAACTCATGGAGAGAATTGTATTAAATCGTGTCAATAACCATGTCAACGGCAATTCCCTACATCAACCTTTTCAATCTGCCTATAAGAGCAACCACAGTACTGAGACAGGTTTATTGCGGGTGAAAAATGACATTATGCGAGCCATCGACAACAAGATGGCGGTTCTACTTGTCAAGTTAGATCTTTCGTCCGCTTTTGACACCATCGACCACAATCTGTTAATAGCGAGACTTGAAACATCTTTTGGTCTCCATGGGTTAGCTCTGAATTGGTTCCACAGCTACCTTGGAGGACGCCGAAATCGCGTACGTGTTGCTGGGGTGCTTTCGGATGAACAGCCTGTAGATTTGGGCGTTCCCCAGGGTTCAGTTGTTGGGCCTACACTCTTTACTTTCTACACCAAACCGGTTTCTGACATCATTGAGGATCATCATCTGAACTACCACATTTATGCTGATGATACACAGATTTACACCAGTTTCAATCCCTCAATCTCTGGAGATTCTAAAATAGCTCTTGACAAACTATCAGCATGTATCACTGATATCAAATTCTGGATGTGTGCAAACAAACTTCAGCTTAATGATGATAAAACAGAATTTTGTATTGCCGCTTCTCCCCGTAGCATCAATTCTCTCTCTGACCTGACACTTCAAGTAGGATCTACCACTATCAAACCTTCACCTTTCATCAAAAACCTTGGTGTGGTTTTGGCTCTACTATGTCTATGTCACAACATGTCACAACAATCTGCAGATCTGTCAACTTTCATCTACGCAATATAAATCGTATTCGGAAGTTCATCGATCAGAACACTTGTCACCATGCAGTACGTTCGCTAATCACATCTCGCCTTGACTACTGCAATTCTCTTTTATACAGCATAAGTCAAGGAGACAAAAACAGGTTACAAAAACTTCAGAACCGTGCAGCCAGACTCATTCTCTGTGTAAGCCGCTCTACTGAGGCCTCACCGCTCCTGCATCAATTACACTGGCTGCTGATTGAATCACGTATTCTTTTCAAATTAATTCTATACGTTTACAAAACACAACACTGTCTGGCTCCTTCCTACCTGACCGATTTACTCTCTTTGTATCAATCAGGTAGGGCGGGGCCTAGGTCTTCAACAGACACTTCCCGATTACATGTTCCTATTAACACTAAAACCACAGGTGACAAAGCTTTCTCGATTGCTGGCCCAGGGAGTGGAACAAGATCCCTCAACACATCCGACTTGCATCGTCAATCATCACCTTCAAGAAATCTCTCAAAACACATCTGTTTCTTTAATCAATTCACCTTCATCTTTACCTCTCATTATCTCCTGGTTCCCTTGAGTTATTCTTAAATTAAGTTTTTTTTGTTTTGTTTTTGTTTTTGCCTTGTTTATTTGTAGATTTGTAGTTTTGTACAGCACTTTGATCTTTGTTAAAAGCGCTTTATAAATGCTCCATTCATTATTATTATTATTATAAGTTGCCATTTCATATTTTGAAAAGCGCTCTCTTGTGACACAATCTCGAAATCAGCATTCGGGATATGATTCTCATTCAGCTGATTTGAGCTATGTGACATCACACACTGAACCAGCGAATGATAGCAGCCGCACTCGCATGCGCGTCGGGTCAATGGTTACACCCATTCAGAGATTCGCCCACTAACAAACCAACTATAAACACTAATTTTCAGAAATGTGTCACTTGACACATCTTTGGAAATGACCTTCTATCATTTTTCTCTTCAAAAATGACAGCATGCCAGAAGGAATAATTTCACAGGGAGTTAGGTTCATTACTATCTTTAAACTTAGTGGGGTGCTGTGGTCCAATGGTTACGGTGTTCGACTCGTGTGCCGTGGTACATGGGTTCGAATCCTGACCGTGGGAACATGGTGCTTGTGCTCTTGAGCAAGGCACTTTACCATTATTGCTTCGTCCTTCGGATGGGACGTAAAGCCGTAGGTCCCGTGTGTTGTGTAATGCACGTTAAAGAACCCGGTAACACTTATCGCTAAGAGAAGGGGTTTGCCTCGGTGTTTCTGGCAGTGGCTGCAATATGCGCCGCAGCACCTTGTAAACCCTGATAAGGTGCTACATAATGGGTCTCATATTTCTCATAAACTTTATTTACCTTTCTTTAATAATAGACATATCTCCAGCGCCTTGAGTACCTAATAGTTGGTAGATACGTGCGCTATATAAGACTCCGATATCATTATTATTATTATTATATTATTATTATTAAACTAAGTAACCTTTTTTAACGATAATTTGGTCAGTTATTTTTTGGGTGAACTTGACATTTTGAACAGTGATCTTCACATTTTGTTACTCCTCATACCGCCCCAAACCGCCCCCCAGCACGCTATGGTTTTATTGATTCACAGAGGAGTAGGTGCAATTAATACAATTTTACACAAGTGCTGAAGGGTAAACACAGTACCTGTATGGAATAATTGCTGTCAGCAACCAAGCCAGTCAGTTCAACTTCAACGACAGTATCATTCAGTCCTTCAGTGACTTGCAGCGTCGACTGGTTTCCTTGGGATACGATTCCGTAGACTACGTAGTAGGCTATGATGATGCCGTAAGGTGGGTCTGGCCTGGGCCACTGAACAGTGATGGAAGTGGCGTCGCCACTGGGTGTCGTGACGGAGGTAATTTGAGGTGGCTCTGCACAAATAGGATGAGATAATTGTCGGCTTTAGAACTGCAAGCTGAATTCCCTCGGGTAAAAACTTAAAACAGGGTCAGATATCATGGCACTGCTAAGCACATGATTTTCTGCTAACAGAGCCTTTGCCATCACATACGCCATAAATAGATAGCACAGCCAAAGGCACACTTACCTCAGATTCAGAATTTGCTAAAGTAAATGATGCAATAATAGAAATCTCCATGCCAGGGGAATCATTAAGTATCAGGTATATCTTAAAAGGAACACACTTTATGTCTGGTAGTTTCTGCTACATGTATTTACTTTAGCAGAACTTTCTTCTGTAGATAGATGTAGCCCAATTTTCATTATTAATTTGCACATTTTTTTCTGCCACAATTTTTCTGCCACAATTTTCCACTTTAGTTAGTACAATTTTCCATTATTTTTGCACACACTTTGTCTGTATCCATTATAGTTTAAAGCATAATTGTCTTCTATTGTTAGCCCAACTTTGTGCTATGTTTTTTTTTCTTGCAATTACCTGCTACATAGTTACCACGCTGTCTGCTTTAGTTTCTGTAGCAAAATAAATAGTTAGTAAAACATTTTATAAATCGGCCCCTGCCACGCGCCAGGTCGTGAATTATGGCATTGTCGTTGCCGACATGCACAAAGAAACTTTTTTTTCACTGCACAAATTGTTCCCTCTTTTTTATTTGCCAAAGTCTCCGTAAACTGAAAAAACACTATAGCTCAAAAGGAGTGATCATTTTGACTTACTTGCTTGATCTGTGCGTAGCTTGATAGCGTCACTATAGGGACCATTTCCAGCTGCGGTGCGTGCCAGCACTTGGAATGAGTACAGGGTGTAGGGTACCAGACCATCAATGTCAGCGTCCGTCACAGATGAGCTGGTGTCTTCTGTCACATTCTCCCCGCCTCTTTCTAGATCAATTAGTCGGTATGTGTAGCCGACGATCACACCACGACGACCAGGGCAGGATGGTGACTGCCAGGCGAACCTCAAACCTCGCTTAAGCGTTGCCGTGTTGATGACGTTCCGTGGAGGTTCAGATGGAGCTGGTAATAGAAACAAAGAAAACATATTTAACCAAACAACTAAAACATTTTGGACCAAGAAAACAGCTCAAAAGTTTCAGAAGCTCAGCGGAATCAAGCTATGCACCAACAGTAAAGAAAACATGGCACTTCGGGTAGTAAATTGGTTATGCAAAGTAAAAGAACTTCAAACTTTTTGACATTCAGAATTATTTCTTCAATTTCAAAATTATCTTCAAACAGTCTTTAAAAATCAATTTCTATTTAGCGCATTCTACAAAGGTTTATTTATTTTTTTATCTTAGAAATACAATCAAAACCTGCTTTACTGAATAGCAGTAAACCTGTGGTAGCTTTATAAGCATATTTTAAGCGCTAGACTTAAAATTCCTTCTTATTTTATGTGAATTCTACTTCCGAAGTGTGCCCTTTGCTTGTAGTCATCATCAGCCGAAAATGATGTGCTCAGAAATTAACCGCAAATGTTAGATTTTTAAATTGCGTCTTTTTGACACAATATTTGGCTTTGGAGCTCTACATAATATGAGCGCAGACAACCAAGAATATCTCTGCTATAGGATCAAAAGGGGTGAAAATAACCCAGAATATCACGGCTAAAGGGCCAAAAGGGCTCTTTAGCGTATTCAATGTTTATTCTCCTAACATATGCTCAATGTGTATGTCAAAATTTGAAAGGGAAACATACTCTTTCTATTTTGGACGTTTTTAACCCTTTCAAAATTTGCTTTTTGCTTTTGCACCTACAACGTCAGGCCGTACATGAAATAGAACATTTGTATATAAGTAATTATTAAATGTAGGTAGATTTTTTGGTTTGATATTTAAACGTCATAACTTTTGTATGGCAAGAACATTTTTTTTTTATAAAAACACAATCTATTTTACAGGGTGAAACTCGAATAAATACTATGAGTAAAACTTACGCGATCCCCCTGGCATCCTGCCAGTTTGTATACATGTACATGTACACGTGCAGGTAGTTAGTAAGGTAGTAATTTTCAGTGACGGACTTGATTGTCCACCCAGCAGGTACCAGTTCTCAGTTGAATGGGGAGTTTGGGTTGAATGGAGAGTTTGGGTGAGACACCGGGCTAAATGTTAGAGTCAATCGTATCTCTCCAGAGACCTCGTAAATATCCATATTGGAAAGGACTGTTTTGATGCTGGCCTTCTCTCCACAGACCACTTTTCAAGTTTGGTTGAGATCGATGACTGAACTTTACAGTGAAATGGATAACACACACCAACACAGACGGAATACGGGATCGCAATATCCCCCTGTTTGGCTTGAAATTCAGAGGGATAAAAAGCAAGCGGAGAGACAATTTACTTAAATTTACTCACCTGCTTCGGCAGTATAAACATATTCATAATCTTCCGACCCTTCACCAGCTGATGTTGTCGCCGTCACATACACGCTGTATTCAGAGTTTGGGAAGAGGCCGGTAATGTTATACTCCATAAGGGTCGTTCTCCCTGCTTCAATGCGATTGCTAGTTGGATATTCACACTTCAATAACCTAAACAAGTCATAGCTGACCGTGTAGTGATCTATGGGGCAGTTGCCAGACGGTCGATTCCACCGAACACGGAGGACAGTGGGATAGCCGTCAACAGCCTCAGCGGATAAATCACGAACCTGAGATGGAACTGCAATCAAAAAGGAAAGAAACTTTAAATAGCAGAATTTGAACACATTGTTTTTAAGACAACTGTGTGTCATTAGTTTCTCAACTTGCAAATTAAAACAAAAACCAACTGAATATTCAACGCAGCTTCGGTCTTAAAGTGCCTGAACCAAAGAGCTGTTTGACTTGTGATTCGACATGGATTTAACTTGTGATGGACTTGTGATTTGACTTGTAATTGATGTGTGATTGACTTGTGATTTGACTTGTGATTTGACTTGTGATTGACTTGTAATTGACTTGAGATTGACTTGTGATTTGACTTGTGATTTGACTTGAGATTTGACTTGTGATTGACTTGTGATTGACTTGTGATTTGACTTGTGATTTGACTTGTGATTTGACTTGTGATTTGACTTGTAAGTTGACTTGTGATGGACTTGTGATGGACTTGTGACTGACATGTGATATTGAATTGTGTTGGGCTTGTGATTTGATTTTATTTGATTGTTCCCAATTTCCACAAAATAATGATACAGATTAGTTACGATTTACAAAAAAAACCAATTTATTGACTTGTGATTGGACAGGTGATGGACTCGTGATTAACTCGTTACAACTCTGGGAGACATCTTCACTTGACCCCAGTCTCAACTTACCCACTGTCTTGGTAGTCACCTCAGTAGCATTGCTGTAAGTTCCGATTCCAAAAGTATTGACAACTGCGATCTGAAAACTGTACATTGTGCAGGGGGTCAGCCAAGACTCCGTTCTATATTCAAGGTTTGTGGAGTATGTTGTTGAATCATCTGTTGCAAAATTTGTCAACTCAGCGCGGTACGCGCGGCTTGAGTGCGGACCGTTCAAATCTTCACAGGAAACCTCATCCCATGTGAAATGTATTCTGTTGGATGTGATATCAGAATCCAGTACGTTCACCGTTGGTACAAAGCTTGGCACTGTCAAAATGGAGAACAAGACAAATCAAATAAGTCGATACCTGGGACAAAATAAAGATTAAAAATTATTCTAAATCTACTAAATCTCCAGAGTCCAAGAGTCAAGTGAAGCAATCACACATACATGTACTAGCATGTTTGTTTATGGTGTAAATTTTCCTTTGTTTGTACTGATCTCATTGGTTTTGTACACATTTTCTAATCAAGGTCGTCCTCAATTTGGTTCCTGTCCTCGATTCACCGATGATGTTGCCTGTGTGTGTCCTCGATTTACACCATATACAAACGCATTATGTTACACTTGATGAGAAGGATTATTTCGCACTGCTATATTATATTTTGAATATTTAATACAGACTTTTCTAAATACCTGCCGTTTCAATATATTTTCCTCAAAGGGCCTGCCACAATACTAACCGCAATATCTATTGTTTGACCTATTTTTCTAGCTTCTGAGTGAAATGAACCTTATTTCATTACACCAGTATATTTTTAGGCAAGAAAATTACCTTTTCCCTGAACATCTAGTTTCTCTGTACAAACCAATTGAAATGTTACCACTAGTCTTATGTTTTTTCATCGAAAGGCATTTTAAGTCCCTTTCATTCTGATGAAATCTGGACTCAATTAGCTCCCGTACCGCCCCAAACTGCCCTGCCTGTTATGCCTTGTACTGCCTTATATCACCCAGCACTATGGATTTATGGATTCTTCAGGGAATGAATACAATGTAATACAATGTAATACAATGTAATACAATGCAATAAAATGTAATACAATGTAATACAATGTAATACAATGTAATACAATGGAATACAATGTAATCCAATGAAATACAATGTAATACAATGTAATGCAATGTGAAACAATGTAGCACAGATGCTAATGGGTTAAAACGGTTGTACTAAAATATATTAAGACAATCGACAAATTGTGTTCATCATGCTTAGAATATGATCTATTTGTAGGAAAATATTCACATTTTTATAACGACATGGACTGACCTGCTGCACTTGTGTCTTCTGACGATGCACTAACAGTGGAATTCCCTGCTGAATTCACAGCGACCACGGACACACTGTAGCTGGAGTACGGTTTCAGGTTGTTCAATGACAATGTAGTGACAATGACTCTTTGCGATATGGTACCAGGGTCAACACTGGATGAGCCGCATGCCTTTATCCTCGTCAGAGAGTGACTGATGATGTAAGCATCGACCGGGCAATTGTTGTCGGCTGACGGTGATGACCAACTGACACCAAGCTGATTGTGTGAACTACCGGGTGGATTGAAAATTCGCAACGAGGTCACCGGACCAGGAACTGTGAACCAAAAAATATTTAAAAATCAGACAAATTATGTGATAATGGACCACTCATGCATACTGCATGGGTACAAGTACGCATAATAATTGACATTCCTACAAATGTGCCTAAGTTCCTAGCGTGAGTGCGAGGCATAAGCTGGTAGTGACACTCAGTTGTACCCATAGAGCAATATTAAATTACTAGAGCGCTAACTTCGTGTACAAAGTAATGCCTTAAGTTGTTTGCGTGTGTTCTACTTGCGCGTTGCATGTAGATTACACTTTCAAAATTCAATCCATCTAATTTCATTATGTTCTACAAACACGCACATGAATTTAAAATGTCTGCGCCCAGGACGGCTTCAAAGGGTCTCCGTGCGCAGAATGACGAGTTAGCGCTCTAGTAATTTAATATAGCTCTATGGTTGTACCTTCTTTTTTTTAACAAATAAGATACACAGGGTCAACTCGACTGGCACACTGGCACTTTCCCGTCCAAGTTATGGGTTCCGTGCCACAACAAAAGAGGGGACGACTTTACCGCTTTTGAGAGCTCCATGGACGTGACACACATCGTGCGCGTACCGTACTGTACTGGTTCACAGGCGAAGTACGCACGACTTCCTAAATGTGCAGAAGTTATAGCCACCGAGTCTTTGCGTGAGCGTCAGGCATCGTCGGCGCGCAAATATGTTCGAATTCAACTTGCGATGGTCTTCCAGACTAATCCCCGCCTCCAATAACTTTGGATACATTCGAAATACGCAGTGGATGGATCAGGAACCAGTCTAGGTCACCCTCAACTCTCCTTCTCTGGCTGTTGATGGGGTACGTACTACTGTATTAGTACAGAATTTCCAAGGTTAGTACTTTGATTTGCCTATAGAGCAGATATAATCAAAATGGTGGGGTATACTGGCTCCATGTTAAATGTGCATTGTGCGATTGCATCGCATACATGATTTTGTTGCAACGATTATGTCGTGCGGCAATGTCACACACATGAGTGTGTGATCAAATTTGAATCTAAAAAATCGCGCGTAAATGTAAAGACGCTCATTGATTTGTGCACGCAATATTATCGCGCGACAAAATTTTATATACGTGTGTAAATGAAACTTGGGGAACACAATCAAATGGCTTACTCATGAATAAGGCCAATACAAGAGCAAACCAGAACGTGCGTGCAGTGTGTCCTATCCACCGGGCTTTTCAAAAGTGGTCAAAAAGCGCCCTCTTCAGTCAAGGATTTCATTGGCCAAATAAAAGTTCCCTTCTTGAATACAACCAATCTATATCCTACCTGTGGTTTCAGTGGTTGCAGTCACTATGATACTGCCGGGACTGTAGAGCCCATCTCTGTTGGTGAACGTAACGTACACATCATAGCTGGTGCAGGGTGCCAGGGAACCGAGAGTGGTGAACGATCCCGTGGCTTCGTACTGTATCGTGTTACTGGGAAATTCAACTTCGGAGCTTTGTTTCCGGTAGACCTGGACATACTGCAAACTGCTGCACTGCCACGTTGATTCTGGCGGGAACTAACATAAAAAGTAAACATGTCGAGGTGAACAAACAGCCAGAAAATTAACACATAAAGATAATGAAAGGTTTGCCGAAACACCATGTGTGAATAATTTCTCAACTGAGAGAATGGTTCTGAAAAGAACCAGAGGTATAAACTGGAACCAGAGGTATAAAACAAGTTTATACCTCTGGTTCTTTTCAGAACCATTCTCTCATCAGTTGAGAAATTATTCGCACATAGTGTTTCCGCAACCTTTCATTATTTAGTATCTCCACCATGCAAAGCCTCAAATCTTACTTAAACACATAAAGGTTCATCTCATTAAATATTCGGGATTAAGTTGTGTACAAATTTCTCTGCAATGGTTGAATTGTACTAGGTATCAAATTTCCAACAATGACGTTCTCAACACGAGTTACAAACTGATGACTTCACTATGGAGTGATACTGCTTACCATAGATAACCATTACTTGTTCCGGATAATTAATGAGCTGAATCCCCAAGACACTACATAAATACATCAACAAGTAAGGAATCCTTCTTTCATTACCACATTGTTTATTGACCTGGGTCTCCCCAGGACCAAATTGTTTGCTCAGTCATGCGGAAATCACTAGAGCGTGAACAAAATGACCACAAGTCCAAAACTCACTTTTTTCAACCCAGATTTTCACTGCCAAGGAGTGGTTAAAATCATACGTGCTGTGTGTAAAGTTTGTTCCTTGAACCTTACTTTTTTATGTGATGTAAAAATGAAGTCCATACATGCCAATATAAGAATGTTATGCCTTCTTTCCCAACTGGTCCCATTTATCAAACTGCAAGCCATTTCACCACATGACCAAATGGCACTCCATACCTCAAATTGTGCGTGGATACTTCTGAAGCACTTTTCTCATTTTTTTGTATTGTTAACCATATGAATAAACTACACCATTAGAACGATCCGAAAACCCTCTTTCAGCTGGTATATGGTTGATGTATATGGTTGATGTATAGGGTTGATGGGCGGCCAAACATATCAACATGCCGCCTTTCTGAAAAGTAGTGAATATATCTGTGTTGAGGGTGTTATGTGTGTGGTTTCCTGGTCGACAAGAGTCGCCCATGGTAAGGAAAGGGTTATAAACAACCTCGATCTTGTCAGGGAAAAGAAACACAATACAAATGAGGCTTCCACAAACCTGCCATGAAAGGCGTAGTTCCGTACTGCTCACAACATCAAGCTGCACCATCGGGGCTGTAGTTGGATCTATGGAAACAATTAATGACTGTTGTATAAGTTTATACGATGATTCTATACGCTTAGCTGAAGGAAACATTCGACTAAACATTAGTTTTCAACATCCAGAATTCCTCCGCTGGAATACTTTTCATACAAAATGAACCAATCAAAGAACAAGTCCTGCGAAGGACGAAATGGTCTTATTCAAGCAGCATGTTGCTACTGCAAAACAATCCAAATTTAGTTTCAGCTCCTTGCAAGCTTGACATGTTAACATGTTACACAGGAAATGCTACCTTACTTGAACAGATGTCCTAAAGGCTGCTGTAAACATGTTGGGTTGTTATTAAGCGTTAATTTAAATGTGATGCAAAAGGAACCCCCAACACGAATTGTCACAGCCAGTATTTGTGCTTCGAATTTCCAAGTGGAACACATCTTCAGGCCTGAAATGTTTCATACTGCCAAAAGTCGCTAGCATGTATCCATGGGTAACATCCTTGGCCTTTACCTAATGACACATAATGCATGTTGACACTGGAAACATTTTAAGCTTCAACTTTCTTTCTGCCATCCTGCAAAGATTCCAATCTCAATCCCGCACTGTTATCTTACTTGCACAGGTCGTTCCGATGGTGGCCTTAGGGCTAGGGGGTCCAGCCCCACCTTCCCCCTCCCTCACTACCACGACGACAAAGTCATACTCGGTGTCTACCTCCAGTTCCCTGATGATCAACGCGGTGCTAGTGTTGGTGGCCGCTATTTCTACAAACTCATACGTAGTATCATCCATGTCATCGCTTCGGAGCCGGTAGTGGACCTCGAAACGTAGGACGGGCCCGTCTCCGCGACCCTGCGCAGAGGTCCACGAATTCCATCTGACCTTGATGCTTGTGGAATCTTTGGGTCCTGCGTAAGGGGCTGACGCAAGGGATGGCGGCTCTAGAAGAGAAAAACAACACCAAAATGAACAATAAAACAACTTTGGCTTTTTCTAAATAAGTTTGAACATTTTAAAGCATAATTTGGTAGTCACATTTAGGGGAGAATGCAAAATTGAACAGGCAGTAATATGACGCTTAACTTGAGGTATTACAAGGTTTTCTGGCGTTACAAGGGGGTAAATCGGGGCCCTACGTGGAGTTACTGCTTGTTATACAATTTTCCATTTCTCCCTATAAATGTGACCCGAGATTACCAAACAATTCACATATGTAAACAAGGGGTTGGCATCTAAACAAATACAAACAGAAACTTTCTCAAATGAACTCACCATTTTTCAACTTATCACAATCCACAGTTCTTTACTACAACTAACATTCAATCTACTAAATAAAGCATACTTATAGCTTTTATCATCTATATTTAACATATTTTTTGGGTAAACACAAGTCATGTGCCAAGCATGTAGATTTTCAATGTAACAATCCCTTTATAATTTGTATGAATACATAATTCAAAACTGTTGTTAGTTTTGTAAGGTTTTTTTTAAGAAGGGGGGGGGTTTAATTGGGCTGGGTCTTTTTGTCATTGCCGTTGTATTGTCGTTGTCTAACTGCCTACAAACATTTAGTGTCTTTCGAGATGCATTCTTACCATATAAATCCAGCGTCAGGAATTCAGGGAGAAAGGTGTTGTCAAGTTTGCGAAGGAAGCAAGTCAATCGTGCTCCCGAGACTGCATCGTCTCCAGTCAAGATGTACTCGTTGAACCTCCTGTAGTCATTGAAATCAGAGGACTCGAAGGACCTAACAGGATCGATTTCATTACTCCTGACATCCTGTAGAATGATATCATCTTCTGTGGGTAGGGGATTCCCCACTGTCTCACATTTAACAGTTACTGGCTGGCCAGCGTTGAGTTTACTGGTCTGTCCAAAAGAGACAATGGCTCTGGTTCCATCTGAAAAGAAAAAAATCAAAATCAATTTGAAACCTTCCAACACAGCGTCAATCAATTTCCGACGCTTCTTTCCTTGGAAACTTAATGTTGTTTCGAGTTTCTGTGTCTGTAGAAACCTATTGACCAATCCACTAAGCTCTGCTCACTGAACAGGTGGGTAATTTACATATTCTCCTCTCCGATGCCAAACTGAATATTGCAGCCAGGCATCTCATAGGCACCGGCACGCATGTCCGACTTTTGTTCACACGTGGCTGACAAAATCCACATTCACGAACCTCGACGCCAGACAGGTTTCAGGGGGTCATCTGCAGGTAGCACACCCTGATATTTCCGGCCTCGCTCGCTGCGAGCGGGTCGCAGACAGATATTTGCTGCCTCGCTCGTTAATGTTTATCCGTCATCCGTTCCGAACACCGCCAAAACTTTGCGTGTATACACGTCATCCAACGTGAACTGGTTAAACACTGCGCTATTTAGAATTTCTTCTGTGAATCCGAAATCAGTTACAGATACTTCTTCATGTTAAATGGGAACACGATCAAATCTGTTCTCTCAGCGTAAACGGATTAAATGCTTAGACACCGCAAACAAAACGAATTCAGGTCATATATCCAAATTATTTGACAAGCAATTAATTAACGGTAGCGGCTGTAGCGACTTCCCATAGACTCATGTGTCAATTGCCAGCCGCAGCCAAGTCATTTGACTGCGGCTTTATGAGTTTGGCATGGCGGCATGGCGGCCATGTTGGCAAGGGCCATCATGCTAACCTTGGTCACAAGCCGCTCCTCTGTAACCGTCCGCACAGCCATCGACGCAATCTCCCATCTCCTCATTGCATGCTTGGTTGTCACGGCAATTGCATCTCTGTGTGCATATCTCGCCATAGTAACCGGGCGGGCACGGTGTCTGAACTGTATGTGATATAGAAACAAACAATTAAAAATCTTAAATAAAAATCAAAACCCTCTGCGGGCAAAACTATCAAACACAATTTCTAAGAAACTTCTTTGTGCATCTAAGCCAAATAAAACAGTTAATATGAATGGTTTCTTTTTGTACATGTTGTTGCTTTTTGTCATGTTGTTAAGTAATCTACGCTTCCTGTGTGCACATTGACTCATGTGTAAACAAAGTCTACAATATTTTAGTTGGAAGTTGCAGATCTACTTGTACGACCTTTGACAAAACTTCAAACTGGAGTTAATAAACACTAGCAATGCTTTTCCACATACATCAGTAAATCCAGTGAAACAAATTTTCTCAAGTAACAGCAGCTTTCAATTTCCCCTTGCCTTGGTTTAATATAGCGCCCCCTATAGTTTGTGATGGGAGATGGTACAGCTATATACATGTACTTCGCTCATACCCCCCGCCCTGCAAACAGGACGCTGGTAAGGGCTGACGTCATTTGAGCTCTCATTGGATAGATTTGCGTGACCTGTGACGTAGAACGCGTCACGCAAAGTAGCTTCCGGTGCCCATCATGCGTAGCACGCGCTAGCTGCATGCGAAGGTCAATCTGTACTTCCTTCACAAGATTCTGTGAAGCTCATCAGCCCTAACCAGCGCCCTGTTTGCAGGGCGGGGGGTACGAGCGAATACATGTACATGTATGTCCTACCTTGACAATTCCTTCCCTTCCAGCCTGAAGCGCATTGTTGAGGGCAGTATTCATCGGTGCACGATGGATCGTTACATTCGCCAGTGTCCGTTAAACACGTGATGCCTTCAGCGCAGTGGCAGGTTTGAGTGCAGTATGGTCCAAAGGTGTTGGGTTGATCACACTCTTCAATAAATCATACAAATAAAAAAAATATCACCAAGGGCTACGGCTGACATTATACAACTATTTACGAGAAGTAGCTTCATTCCTATTGCAAGCCGTAGCTATATAAAAGCAAATTGGAAAAGGAGATTATATTAACATCTTAAACATTATAGTCTGGTTCCCAGACCAAAAGATTCGGACTATTTCTGACCAATATTAGGTCAGGTAGCCACCATGGCTAAATATAAAATGGTGGCCCTTTCTCAAAGCTCGGCTTCATTTCTGGTTTGTCAATATCATTGTCATTATTAGCTTTTAATGTTCCGATCAATTAAAAAAAAAAAAAACACTTGCTTCATATCACATAGCTTGATACTTTTGTAAGAAAACATTGACTGCATGTTGAGCTGGAATCTTCAAAGTTTATGGAACCGAATAACACGCAAATCCGAAATGTAGACGAAGCCGAGTTAAACCATCGTCGGATTCATGGCGCGCAGCAAAGCTCGGCCCTCATATGATCCGAGAGCATACTTGATGCACAAAGTTATTTTTTCAAGTTTTTAAAATACAACCAATCAATATATGTAATCATTTTTTTTGATAATAAGCATGGCAGGTAAATACGACTTATTTTATACCCGGGAATACCAAGGCGCAATCCGCGAGTGTCAACAAAATGCATACAAATTTGTACATTTTTGGAAACGGCAGGAATTCCTCTAGTTTATTTATTTTTAGCTGCGGTGGCTACCTGACGTAAGACTGATCAGCAATAGTCAGATATTGTTGGTCTGGGAACCCGACTACTTGAACATTCATCCAAAAATTAACTTAAGACAAGTCAAACCCAATAAAGCTGGTCCCAGAGTGCATACAATTCCAGTCAATCAATTTAGAATGGTTTTTCATTGGGCGTCAGCCAGAGTGTCATGCTACGTATTCAGCTTCGGATTGGATCCAAGTTGATATTGTCCACAGCACAAAAATGTGCTTAGAAATATTTTCTGTTAAGCAGATCTGTATGAAATCAGTTACTAGTCTGAATGTGATAAGCATTTAAGCTTACCCTGGTCACAGCCGATTCCCTTGTAGCCGGCCGCACAGGAGCAACCGAACGGATCTTGAAGGCAAAACAGACGTCCTCTGCATGACGCACCGTGACGATCCTCAGCCCCTGTACATGGTAGTGTGCCATTCATTCCCCATGCATTTCTACCATTCGCTGGAAACAAAACATATTAACAGTAGTCAGACACATAAATCCTAACATCCCAAAATGTACTTGCTTTGACCCTACATGAAGTTGTCAAATTTCCAAAGTAGCGAAACATTAAGTCAGACTTTTCAGTCAAACATTTCAGGTACATAAAGTATTAAATCTTCAGAAATGTTTGTTTTGGCAAATTTCTGGAAAGTTCTCCAGTCTGAAAAGGTATTAATATGCTGGTTATTATGAAAGGAGCAGAAGGTTTTTTGGGGTTTTTTTTTGGGGGGGGGGGAATTTCTCTCAAATTTACCGATGTGACAGTTGGAGCCGCTGAAACCCGGAGCGCAGATGCATTGCCCGGTGACGTCATGACACATACCGCCGTTATAACACACTGGGCAAACGTTCTGACAGCCAGTCGACGGTCCCCACATGTTGCTAGGGCAACCTGATGGTAAAGAAAGGAGATTCATGTTTATTCATGAGGTAACTTGAATCACCAATGCCGATTGGTCAATGTTCAATATAGTGTTTTATCTTTCGGTTAATTAATGACAGTTAATAACTGAAGGGCAAATCCCAATATTGTCCGTCTCTCTCTGTCCAGAGCTCTCTTGGGCAGTAGCGGATTTTAATAAGGGTGTGTGCTTGGCAGGTTTTAAACACAATGTTTAAGACCGCTTTGGAGTCTGGACTCCAAACCGGTCTTAAATACCTCTTTGGTCAAACACTCAAATCACTCCAAAAATTATAAATTTCCAACTATTTTGTTTGAAACTACTTAATGTTTTTTATTAAACACCCATCTAGCTATGTGTTATGGTATGTGCCTCTCGTGAGTAGTCGTAAACAACTCTTTATATGGATATTGGCCCATGCATTACATGTACTGCGTGATGTGTCGCAGAACGCAGCTGTGCCGGTGTAGTGTGAATTTAGGACTATGAAATATACGGACTCATTGGTAGTATTGCGCATGCCTAACCGAGGACTGTGAATGTTCAACCCATTGATCTCTATTATATAATGGAGATCAATGGTTCAACCAATGAAAGGGGTAAAAGGGACTGGATTTCATAGCAGACCGAATTTCATGTGACACTGGAAAGTATTTAAGACCAGCCAGCCGGTGTTTTATCAACCGTTTAAGACCGGCCACATGACAGGCTCTTGACCAATAGGAATGGGTAAACTGTCTTAGGCATTTATGAATTTATATTATGAACAAAATGATGATCATATTTACCTCTGACTATAACTCTGAAGATAGCATGGCGTCCCTGGCCTCTCTGTCCTGGTTCATGGCATTCGTACACACCCGCATCAGCTGCAGTGACTGAACTTATAGTAGGAGACTGGTTACCAAACCAGTTATTAAACCAGCCGTTAAATTCAGCCGATGTCTTCCTCCATCGCCAGTCTGGGAGCGGAGACAAGGTGGTGAAGACTTCAAGGGTGAGCGATTCTCCTAGGCTTACTGTGATAGTCTGCCGCTTTGGAATTATGACGGCTGTAAAACAAGGAAAAGCACACACATCAAAGAGGAATTTGTTACCCAGAGTCACTTTTAAAAAACATAGTTATTACCAAAGAAAATGTAGGCTCTTAGATATGCAAATTGCAAGGTACATTCGTATTAGCAGATTATTAACAACCTAAAATTTGGGCGATTCCAAATACAGTGCGCCACCAAGAGTTTGCCACAGAGGGTTCATTTTTCCCAGTGCGTTGTGGGAGGTCGACAAATCCGCAGCACAGGACATTTGAAATTGTTCATTTTTCCGGTCAGTAGTTTAGATTTGAGCATTTGTTTGCCCCTTTCTTTTCTTTTTATCAATATGGTGTTTTTTGTAAGGCGGCAGAACGCTATGCCCCAATCTGTAACAAATTAGCTCGAGTTGTCTACTGACACGCATTCAAATGGGCCGTGTTTTATCGACCGAGAACTTGAAAAGTGGACTCTTCATGGTAAACTCTTGGTGGCGCACTGCATTGTGAATTGCCCGAATTGTCATTTAAATGATTAAAATGATACAGGTTTGCAAGTCATTTTTGTGTTTGAAAACATACCACACCCTTTTCCTTTTGTGTTTATTAGATTTAGATTTTTTTTCGCTTGTACCATTTACATGTAACTATCCAAGGGCATCTGTAAGGAATTATCTTACTGCGCCTTTGTACTTTTTCATAAAACAAGGTGAGGGGGCTGGGGGAGGGGAATTGGAGTGGGACAGGAACATAACAAGGACTGGGGTGCTGGGAGGGGGATTGGGTCCGAAATAGGGGGTGAGTAGGGGGAGGTGACGGAACACTTCTGTTTGTGTGCGACCAATTCACGTGGAATAAATTGATAATGACAGTAGTTATGACAAAGCACCCACAATGCATTGTGTTTCCTTTGCAAAGTTTCGAGAGTTTTACAGCTCAAGTGAAAGGTAAAACTATTTTTTCCCTCTCTCTTTCTTTTTATCTTGGTATCTGCAACCTCACTTCGAATTTGTCATAAAAATTTGTAAAATTCCGAAAGTGCAAAAAATCCCCAGATGCTCACCGTTTGAGTTGAGAGTTACTGTTGTTATCTTCTCCACCGTGGTCCCAGTATCAATCTGGCAGTAGAACGCCCCAATCCTATACAGACAGGAACTACCAGTCCCACCGCACGAGCACAAACCACTAGGGCAATTCATATACTGACGGCTGATCGCAGTCCCCCTCCCGTCTCCAGGGTTGGGAATGCATGAGCACAAGGGCAAACCATCGCCGGTTGCCGTGGAGACAGTCCTCCCAAATGTAACTGCATCGCCTAGCAATGCCACGTTTCCCTTGTAGCCGCCGATGAATGTGCTTTCGGTGGTGATGGAAAGGAGAGGGTTTTCATTGAAGCATGTGAAGTCCACCAGTTCACCTGTGCATTAAAAGTACAAGATTCATGAAGTATATTACATAGTTTTCCGTTACCATGGGTACATTTTTGCTGGTCCCATCTTGGGTGTAATTTTGTTTTCGTGCCCCTGTTTAAAGTGATCCTATTCCTACCAAACAAATCAAAATACTTTGAAGTTAATTTTAATGATACTTGCATGGCAATTTACACGTTGTGTGGACTTGCCCACGTCCACACAAGCTTTTCCCCTCTCTGGAAAACAGGTTTAGAGGCATTTTTGGATTACGTGTATCCGTTGCAAAATGAAGAGAAACACTAAAAGGGATCATAGAAAAAAATTTGGGTTGAAAGAGTTTTCACAGTTGTGAGTAAAAATGAGTTTTTTTAACTGGTTTTTCTTAACTACACTAAACAAAGGAATGTCCACACTAGGTATGTAAAACAAACATGTCTGCCTCTGTGTGGGTGCGGTGTGTCCCGTCCATGGGGTCGTGAAAGTGGTAAAAAGCGCCCTCTCTATAATGTTCCCCTTCTGAGTCCACAACTATTCTGAATCAATTCAATAGAATTTTGTAGGCTCTGGAACCAGCTTTAAGAGGGACCAATATGGGAAAGAGTGTCTCCAATTATTATTTTTCTTTTTTGGGGGGGGGTGGAAAATATTTTGCAAAAAGTATCAAATGTTCTGCTCTGCCATATTTGCCTTGGTCTGACAGGTTTGTTTATAAAGGGCCTTACTATGCCATCCCATGTTTACTGATAAGCGAGAAGCATGACAATTATTAATGGAGAGATCTAGACCACACCCTATGATTGCCCATTATCGGATTCAGGTTTCCTGCTTATATATTTTTCTTACGCCCCTCGGCCAGATCACATGACATTTCACCACATGAGGTAACTCTATAGCCGGTAGGATTATTTGCTGGCTGTTTTCATAATGTATTCCAAAGAGGATTCTTGTTTCATACAGGTTAATGCATGGTACACGGTGAACATGTGCATGTACATGGGACTGAACATGTAGGGAGATGTATAAAGTTGTTTTTAACTAAGTCGCCAACGATTTAAATTACGTTAAATAAGTTACAGTATATTGATGGGATAGCCAATCAAAAAACACCCCCCCCCCCCAAAAAAAAAATAAGAAAACCAAAAATTATAACCAAAGACGAGCAAACAAAAGAGAACAAAATGAAATCCAGCCCACATAGAAAAAAAACATACAAACCAATAATTACAAAAAATAAATCTCAAAGGTAGGATCTAAAGACAACCCAATTCTATAAAGTTCTGTTAAAAAATTAACCCCAAAGGCTTTGAGTTGGAAAGAACTTAATTTTTAAATCAAAGCTTTTTAGACACGTCATGCTACATAATGTACCAAACATTCATTACACATAAAATGTATCTTTCCTTTTACAGTATGTTCTCAAGGATAGAGGAAATGGCAGGGTCAATACCAACGCAAGAGTGGAAATGCCTCACCATCCACCGAACCACAATTCCTTGTTTCGTACGATACACCCATTACCGATGACAATGCCAACACCAATGGCACAGGAAGGATGTGGGGCCATGGATCACCAAAATACTACCATACAGTCAAGGGGAATAGTACATGTACATGTAGGCCAATACTGCCAAGTTATTGTAAAATGCACTCTGTCATGTCTGTGATTGTAAGATTACAAAATCTGGGTCATGGGTTAAACAAGATGAGAAGGCTGTAGGGGCAGATAAGGTTATCGTGAATTTTCAAGATGGAATACTTCAGATGGGAAGAAAAACTGCATATTTCAGGAGGAAAAAGGTTTTTGGACACAGCACAAGTAGTTTTCAACTGAAGTATTCCATCTTATGAATAGTTAATCAGTACCCCCTGCTATGTACATGTACATGAATGTACATCAGATTCGAACCAGCCAACTGATCCCGTTAGCTCGGTGGTCGAGTGGTAAGACATCTGCACTAGAAAGCAGGAGGGCGTGGGTTTGAGTCTCACCCAAGTGATTTTTTTCAACTCTCACTCAGGAGGCAACACTGAGTAGGCACTATACAGTGTTTAAAAAACATGTATGTCAGTGAAGGGCAAAACCTAACGTACCTACATGTACATGCGTATTGCCTGAATTTTCTCTCTCTCCTAAGAGTTTAGCTACATTTGACAACCAATTTTGACACAAAATGTTACTGAGAGAAATGTTAACATTAAATTCAGAGAATTTCATTAACACATAAAAAGAAGCATTTCCACAGAATGTACAAGTACAAACCTCAATGCCAAAAATTCAAAATGGTTCCACAAATGAAGCTTATTATCTGTATTTTGTTGAAATAGGCCTATATAGTTTCTTTCTAAGAATATTCAACAGTTCAGCTGTTACTTGTAACTGAAAAATTAATTACTGGAGACACAAAACTCAATTCGACACCATGGTGATTCAAGTCAATTTCTATGCACAGCAAAAAAAAATTGATGAATGCTTTCTTTTTTAAATCATTGTTTGTATTATGTACATGGATGTACATTTAACACAATACATTTTTACCATAATAAAATCCACTTTATAATTATTGAACTCATGCCTACTGTTAAATTGTCCAAAATGTACATCCAACATTTGGGAATTGCACAGATTCTGAATGCTTTGTAATTGTATGTTACGTACAATATTCCAGACCTCACGCCTTCAATGCAAAAGTGAAAACAAAAATCTGACTCATCTTGTTTTTTTAACAATCCTGTCATCTATAGGGGAAAAATCTACCACCATTTAAAGGGAATGCACATCATTGGCTTTTGCTGTAATTTTCTGAAATGAACAATTTGAGGGGTTAGTATAATAGATCAAATCTTGTTACACTGACTTATTTGAAGTTTTGCGTTCGAAAATGCTGGAATAACCAAGAAAAACAAAAATGTTCAAGTAGTCTGGTTCCCTGACTCCACTAAAAATGAAATGAATCAATTTATAGATGCTGGAAAATTGTAAGGTAAGAAAACCAGTCTAGCTGGTCTGCACCCGTTCATGAACATGAAACCAATACCAAACAAAATTTGGACTGAAAAAAAAAATGGTAAATTTGGAGCAGAAGTTGAAAAATAGTTGAGTTTTTCCAACGGTGGTCAGCCGACCACCGTTGGAAATTTATACAAAATACCACTTTTCTTGAAAATGACTTCACACCAGGTGCGATAATTTTACAGGATGCTTTAGACTTTCATTTACCAACATCATAGTAAAGGTATTTTGTAAAAATTTGGTAGTTTTGTTTTCCAATGTTTGCAAATGTTGTATAAAACTAGCCCAAGAAGTTTTTTTTTATATAAGTATGTGAAAACTATATTTGTACAACATTGAGTAAGCAAATGCTACACTGTTTTCACTTTTTACCAAATCAAAGGCTAGCCAAGCAGGAAACCTACTTTTTTTTTCGCCAATTATTTATAATAAGTACACCTACTTCAATGACAGTTACTGATCTTTTTTTTTAACCTATACACGTGTACGTGAACTTTGCAACATAATTACATGTGTTTTGTCTGTATACAAAGGACTTGCAAAATCCTGTTTGCTTAAAAAATAAGCAATATTCCAACAAGGATATTGTTGTATATGACAGGAAAAGTAAATATTATTATCTTTTAATTGTTTCCTATTACAATTCCAGCTTGGCAACGTGCCACACTGTCCCTATCAAAGTATTCAAAACAGCAAATTAAGTAAAAGTGTTTAAGTAAAAATACTGCTGGTATAAATTTCTGACAACGCACCTCGATTTAATGGAGGTGCATCGTGCTAGACAGAGGGTGTCTGGGTACTTACACCATATTTTGGACAACTTATTTTGTTATGGAATATGTTTCAAGCAGAAAAATTCAGAAACATTGTTGCCTCATTTTTTTTTCCAATTTGGACAAACTTGTAGAACCACTAAAAATCGTTACACTTTACTTATTGTGATTGTAAACAAACATTGTGTACATGTGGACTGTTCTTTTTTTTTTAAAGGACTAATTCTTGTTTTACAAGAATGGCTTTAAAGATGTCTTCCCTGTGCTATTTTTGAGTTTTACTCAAAAAATAGAATTTTTTTTCAATTGCTCAGCTGTGTATGTGTTTTTGCTAGAATTATACAAGTCATTCACTTTTGAAATCAAGAGACGTCAAACGAAAAAAAACCACCAACGTTTAGGCTAGTAAGTACATTTTTTTTCACAAAAATTGAATGATTGGTAGTTACACAATAAACATGATAAATCGACTCTTGCACGATGGGTTCATTTGTGCGCAAAGTTAAATTCCCTTTTCAGAGGGTGCTGACGCCCAAAATCAGAGTAAAGTAGTTTTGTTTTAAAACAAAACATCATTTTGTTCGGAGAAAAAAAATCCATTTGTTGAAAAGCATGGGTATACATCTTTATGTGCGTAAACAGACTTTTCTTTATGTAGACCCCTATACAAATGTATGTATATGCACAATTGTTTGGCTTTTTAAAAAAAGTATTAACCCTAACCGCCCTGAATCCTTCAAAATCATCTTCGTCAAAGTGGAGGAATTTGGAGTATTGAGGTTACATGGCAAAAGTGCGTTACTGATTTCCTAGGATGCACTTGTTCAAGGTCTTGGGCCAGACCTTGTGCTGATTTTGCTCAGCCATGCATAAATATAGGCCTGGATTATGCTTGAAATACTCTGTACTACTCCAGGATGTCACTGGCCAAGCCTGAACATATTGACAGTCACTGCTGTGATTCAGGCAGTGTTCACCCCTCCACAAACCATTCAAGAAATAATGGAAGAATTTGCAGGATTGAGGCTATGCTATTCATATTTCATGAGGCCAATTTGAGGATTTTGCAGGATCGAGGCTACATCCTAGCAAAAAGGCCTCGTTAGGGTTAGGCGTGTCTGCAACCAGGGAAGCGTAATGAAACATGAAACATCAAACATTATTAGCATGTCTGTATCACTGTTTATTTGCCAACCAACATGACCAACAGGATGAGAAAGAG